TTGAAATAGTAATACTTATACCTAGCAATGTATTAATAGTAGTAATGCACATGGACAATATATATACACTCACTGGCCCCTTATTATGTACACCTGTTCAATTGCTTATTAACTCAAATTTCTAATCAGCCAATCACATGGCAGCAACTCAATTAGGCATGTAGACTTGGTCAAGACGATCTGCTGCAGTTCAAACCGAGCATCAGAATGGGGAAGAAAGATGTTTTAAGTGACTTTGAATGTGGCATGGTTGTTGGTGCCAGACGGGCTGGTCTGAGTATTTCAGAAACTGCTGATCTACTGGGATTTTCATGCACAACCATCTCTAGGGTTTAAAGAGAATGGTCTGCAAAATAGAAAATAACCAGTGAGCTTCAGTTCTGTGGGTGCAAATGACTTGTTGATGCCAGAGGTCAGAGGAGAATGGCCAGACTGGATAAGCTGATGGAAAGGTAACTCAAACAACCACTCGTTACAAACGAGGTATGCAGAAGAGCATCTCTGAATGCACAACACGTCCAACCTTGGTGCAGATGGGCTACAGCAGCAAGACCACACTGGGTGCCACTCCTGTCAGCTAAGAACAGGAAACTGAGGCTACAATTCGCACAGGCTCGCCAAAATTGGACAATAGAAGATTGAAAAATGGTCTGATGAGTCTCGATTTCTGCTGTGACATTCGAATGGTAGGGTCAGAATTTGACGTCAACAACATGAAAGATGGACCCATCCTAACTTGTATGAACAGTTCAGGCTGGTGGTGGTGGTGTAATGGTGTGGGGGATATTTTCTTGGCACACTTTGGGCCCATTAGTACCATTTGAGCATCGTGTCAACGGCACAGCCTACCTGAGTATTGTTGCTGACCATGTCCATCCCTCTATGACATGAAGGATTAAGGCAAAAGTGGGTCCAACCCGGTACTAGTAAGGTGTGCCTAATAAAGTCACTGATGAGTGTGTGTGTGTGTGTGTGTATATATATGTTTAAAAATAATGTTTGAATGTTTAATAATTAACTGTGTAAATTAGGGATGTAACGGTATTGTAAATACCGTCATACCGCAATATAAATTTTTTTCGATATTACCGAAGTCGCATGACCCGGTAAAACTATAGGTCTTCTGAGAAAATTTGCTCAGGCGAATGAAGCGAACGGGAGGTAGCGAAAACTACAATTCCCATCAGCCCATGCTTGACCATCATCCCTTGCGGTCTGTTGTCGCTACAGATCCAGTAATGCGGAAATGGAGTGTGCTGCTAGAAGCGGGGATGAAAAAGAGCTGTAAAACTCTAAAGCGGGTGTTGTCGCCGCGCACGTACTGAATAGCGGTGTTGTCGCGCGAGTTCTTATCAGCTGTGTTGTCGCGCGCGTACTGAATAGCGGTGTTGTCGCGTGAGTTCTTATCAGCTGTGTTGTCGCGCGAGTTCTTATCAGCTGTGTTGTCGCGCGCGTACTGAATAGCGGTGTTGTCGCGCGAGTTCTTATTAGCTGTGTTGTCACGCGCGTACTGAATAGCGGTGTTGTCGCGCGAGTTCTTATCAGCTGTGTTGTCACGCGCGTACTGAATAGCGGTGTTGTCGCGCGAGTTCTTATCAGCTGTGTTGTCGCGCGAGTTCTTATCAGCTGTGTTGTCGCGCGAGTTCTTATCAGCTGTGTTGTCGCGCGAATTCTTATCAGCTGTGTTGTCGCGCGAGTTCTTATCAGCTGTGTTGTCACGCGCGTACTGAATAGCGGTGTTGTCAGCACACTGTTCAGATTGATGCAGACATGAGATCTCTATCTTACCCATGGTTTGTCCTCTCAAGTGGGGGAAAGACAATGCACAACGCTACCCACTGCTGTCAACCTGGGCCAAGTCATATCTCTCTTGTCCCAGAAACCTCAGTCCCAAATGAGAGGGGTTTTTTTCTGTTGCAGGGGACATTGTAAATGCCCAGAGATACCAGCTTTTACCAGATTATATTTATATGATAATTTTCCTTTAAACCCATCTCTATCTAAGTGAGTGAGTGATTAAATGTTGAATGTGATGAGTTTTCAACAATACTAAATTGAAACTTTATTTTTTTTACATGGTTTAATTTTTTTTTTGTTATTAAAATTGAAGTTCCTGTTTCAAAGCTTACAGATAGATGACTAATTTGTATGTCATTGACACTTTTGGCACTTTTTTGGAGTATTTTCATAAGTTTTGTTTTTTCCTGTAAATGATTCAATAAATAACGTACCGTGACATTCAAACCGAGGTATTACCGTACCGTGAAATTCTGATACCGTTACATCCCTAGTGTAAATGAATGATATGTGCTGGGTTAATCAGCAGTCCCTTTAAAATCTCCTTGCGAGATTTGGAGGAAGTCATACAAATCACATTTTGTACCAATTGACAGTAACGGAGGAACGCTGCCAAATTTAGTGAAGAGTAAAGTTATTTCTCAAACAATTTACTTCAGTATGAGTAAAAGTAGACATCTTAAAAATCTACTTTAAAATTACAAGTTACAGTTTTAAACAAAATGAATGAAAAAAGTAAGTGTAATTTGTTACCCACCTCTGATCCTGACAAAGTTTACATCAGTGGAAAGCGTATTTATTCAGTGTTTAGATGATTCGTAAGTCTCAGTGTCACAAATGCAAGTCACATATATGCACTTTCTTTTCAGTCAGATCTTTGAAGACAAACATATGTAAAGGTGTGCTTGTTAAAAAAAAAAAAAAGATAAAATGAATATATAAATAAAAACCAAATCTTAAGCTGTGAACATAAAAATTAAGGAAGGGTTGATTTGAACATCTTAAGCCAGTAAATTAATTACTTTTGTTGTTGTTATTGTTGTTTTAGATCTCCTTAATGGACATCTCCGTGCTTAGCTTTTTTCTGGGGGCGTTTGCTGGCAAATTGCTTCTGAGGCTCTAATCATATTTTAAATTACATTCAAATTAGGAATAATGAAAAATCCCTGCAGTTTAAAGAAAAGCAGGAGGACAGAATGACACTCTGAAAACTGCAAATGAAGAAACGCAGCGGGACAGCAGCTCAATAACCGTGTGCTTATCCACATGAAATGATGCACTTTATTTATTTCATCTATTTTTAAACCACAGTATAATTATTACACCCCAGCTTGCTTGATCAGCTTTATGTATTAAAAAGAAATGTGATGTTTTTGCCTGACAATACAAGTAATGAATTCATTAAGCCTCAGAAGGGAATTTTAAAAAAAAGTTTTGTTTTTGTGTTGATTTGTCATTGCCTCTTCATCTTCATTACACTTCCGAGCATCTCAATGAAAGAGCATTCTGGCTTTGTCCAGTCAATAATTATAGGAGTAATGCTTTTTTGTTGGCCGTGTGAGACACGCTTTATGGATAATAACAAACTTTTATGAGAGAGATGAAAACCCAAAGCAACCATTAGGGAGAACTGTAGCTCAGCAAAGATGTATCTGTTTTCTGCAAAGCAAAATTTATGCACTTTATCACAGGATAAGAGCAGTTTTGACATCATACTGTAAGTGGACAATCAAAGGTTCTGTCAAAGACTTCATATTTTTATTCCATTATTAACGATGGAAAAAAAACACTGCCAATCAGCACTGAATCTAACTGGTTTTTAATCAGCAGATAAAAAATAAACCGCATTTATGGTATCATATAAAACTTTAATTGAAAAACAATGATCAAGTTCTGTGAAAAATGTCTTATAATATTAAACAGTAAAAGTTCTAAGATCAATAATAATTTAATGAATTGCTTTCATACATTTCCAAGATTTTATTCATTGTTTTAATACATTCATTCATTCATTCATTTTCCCTCGGCTTAGTGTTTATTTCAGAGGTCGCCACAGCAGAATGAACCGCCAACTATTCCAACAAATGCTTTACGCAGTGAATGCCCTTTCAGCCACAACCCAGTACTGACAAACACCCGTACACTGTCAAATTCACACACACACACACACACACGCACGCACACATACACACACACACAGGGGGAAACCGGAGCACTCTGTGGAAACCCACTCCAACACGGGGAGAACATGCAAACTCCACACAGAAATGCCAACTGACTCAGCCGACGCTCAAACAAGCAACCTTCTTGCTGTGAGGTGACAGAGCTAACCTCTGAGCCACCATGCAACCCTTATAATATGTTCATATCCGGCAAAATTGTTTGTATAAAATAATGAATACATTTTATAACAGTGTAATTATTTGGCAGCAAGAAAATGGACAACATTGGTAAACAAAATTTCAAAATAACAACAAATAACAATGTAATTATAACTAAATTCATAAGTGCATTTTTAGAATCAAAACATTGTATTTGCAGCAGAAATGCAGTCATTAGGAGATGTTATATAACTCAGTGCAAGTGCATTTTAACAGCACCGATAAAAGATTATTTTCCCTGAGCTACATATCATTTATCATCAATTATTCTCACCTTTGCAGTTAACTGCCAAGTTCTGAAAGTTACAGTACTGTTTCTTTATAATAATCTTTATTTCAAAGGTTCAACAAAACAAAATCCAGTTTTTTAAATGAATGAACCGCCAACTTATCCAGGATATGTTTTACGCAGCGGATGCCCTTCCAGCTGCAACCCATCACTGGGAAACATTAGGAAACAATTATTAGCTTTCCTATGAAATTTGGTTTCTTTTTTAAAAATTTCCCAAATGATGTTTAACAGAGCAAGGAATTTTTCACAGTAATTCCTATAATATTTTTTCTTCTGGAGAAAGTCTTATTTGTTTAATTTCGGCTAGAATAAAAGCAGTTTTTAAATTTTATAGTAACCATTTTAAGGTCAAGAATATTAGCCACATTAAGCAATATTTGTTTTTCAATAGTCTACAGAACAAACCATCGTTATACAATAACTTGCCTAATTAACCTAGTAAAGCCTTTAAATGTCACTTTAAGCTGTATAAAAAGTCTTGAAAAATATCTAGTCAAATATTATTTACTGTCATCATGGCAAAGAATATACAGGGGGGCTAATAATTCAGGAGGGATGATAATTCTGACTACAACTGTATGTCAAGCCAATAAAGTGAACTGAATTGAATCGAGAGAGAGAGAGAGAGAGAGAGAGAGAGAGAGCTAGACTGTAGTCTTCGAGCAGGTCAGATGTCATTCCTTCAAAATGAGTTCTAAAGCAGCAAGAAGGTTCCTCAGGCCATACATGTAGCTCTGGTCCGCAGTGTCACTGGGAAACACATGAGCGAAATCAATCATCCTCACCTCCACTGCCTCCTCCTGTCCAAACTGCTTCTTATCCTCCACCCCAACATCCCCGTCGTCCTCTCCTCCTGCTCCTCCCAGTGTCCCGTTAGTGTTCGGTGTGTGTGTTGAGCGGCTCTGATGGGAGCTGAAGTTGTTCTGCGGCCGATGCTGTGTTTGCTTGTGTTTCTGTCCGTCGAGTGTGTGAGGAGAGCCTTCATAAACCAGCAGCAGAGAACTGGCGTAGAAATGCAGCTGAGTCTGAGTTTCAAACCAGCGGAGGATGCGTCGGATTTTAGAGATGATCAGGGAAATCGCACCTCGTCGTAAATCTTGGCCATTGTGGAAGAATCTGCTCAGGCCTGCACTCAAAGAAAGATTTTTGCTGCTTGTGCAAACTACTTATTTAAAATGAGCTGAAACAACACAATTATTGAGATTTTGTTTGGACATCCTAATTGTTTTATGTTCAATCCACTTAATCGTTAATAGTTAACCTAATGGATTTTTAAATATTTTGTTAGTGTGAGGAAATAAACATTTTTTAGACTAAGCGATCAGTGTAAGGTACACTGGTACACTTTTAGGGGCCGATCACATCAAACATGTTTTTTTATGTCACTATGCAATAACCCATTTCACACATACCTTTCCGGAAAATTACTGGCAATTTTCCAGAAAGGTTTATATGTGTGAACAGGCCCTTTTTGAATATAGCGGTAAATTAGTTCTGGCTATTTTCCGGAAAGAGAAGTTGTAACATTACCGGTAACTTGCCAGAATGCTGCTCTGTGTGAACGCAAAAGGAAGATTGCTGGAAAGAGAGCGTGCACGTCTAGAACATGATGACTTGAGACATCTGCTTTAGCCAATCAAAACAGTCAGACGCATTAAAGTCCGCGCAGTTTATGAGAATAAAAGCCTATAAATATTTTTTCAGACACATTTAGCTGCTACAAATTAGTCAGATAATGTTTACATGTTCATCTTAATGCCAACCATGTAATTAATTATCGATAAGATGCTTGATAAGCCATTGTTTGTTTACTTTCAAGCTTTGCGTGTGCACGTGAAACAACCCATGAGCACACACACATATCATGTACATCTTGACATGCGAAAGTGTTTCTCTATATGTTTTCATCGAAGTTGTTCACAATACTGATCCATCCACAGAGTTTGTGATGTAGTCAAATGTTTACAAACACAAGCGCAGCTATTTAGAGCTTATTTCTGGTTAATGATGTCAGAATTTACCGGTATTTTGGAATGGATGTGTGAATGCTCTTTTCCGGAAAGATTCCGTAACGTCCTCGCCTGTGTGAACAACGCTTTTTTTGAATTTACCGATAAAGTTGTTCCGGAAATTTTCCATATATTTACCGGTATCACTGTGTGAAAGGGGCTAATGACTGAATTAGCAGCGCATTGTGTGCGAGGGTTGCTGTTGATATTGGTATAATTTTAATATTTAATAATATTGTGATGTTCAAGATTTGTGAAGTCATACAGCTCCGGATAACTCAAAACAGCAACCACTAGTCTCTCCTTTAAAAGTCTCTGTAGTTGTATTGACAACACAAACACTGCAGTCACCTCAACGGAATCCCCGCCTCTGGTTACTGCGAGCTCACAGTGCGCAACGGCAAAAATGTGAGGTGCAGCAGGTGCTTAAAAACAAAGACTGTAGAATTCACGAGATGTGTCACTCATATACTTTTGAATGGGGAAAAGTGTAACTGTTAATATTGCGTATGAAGTCTCACTTACTCGTACAGTAGCCAATCAGCGATCGTTATATAGTAAATAAAGCCCGCCTTCCAGTATAAGAGTCAATCAGGGATCGCTAAAGAATGACAATCTCTGGGGGAAGGGCTCGGACTAGTCGTGAGTTTCTGCAGATTTTGTGTGATACGAACATTCAGAAATTAAACTTAAGCGACAATTTTTGTTACATTTTTGATGATTCCTAATATGAATTGTAATCATAAGCTTGGCAAGCAGTTTTGAAGAATTTGATGTTTGCCCATTCAAACAGAATGTCTGGAGTACATAAACTGACTGACTGACTGACTGACTGACTGACTGACTGATTGATTGATTGATTGATTGATTGATTGATTGATTGATTGATTGATTGATTGATTTTTTCAGACTGGAAATTAAAATATATGAAAAACTGTGAGATTTTTGTTTACAAATTGATAATATTAACAATAGCAATAGGATTATTTACCATTTTTAATGGTGTCCTTTCCCAGACTGCGCCCATAGAACTGGTCATGCGTAATGTAACTGTCTGAATTGATTAGGTATACCTAAGATGAGAAGATGAGAGCAAAGAAAATGAGAAGAAATCCATGAAAAAAAATCACAATAAAACACAAATATAAGAGAAGCTCTACATTTACACATCAACAACAGAAATGAAGATGACAAAAAAAATGCTGTACGTCTGTTCACATACAGTCTGCCCCTACTGTTTTTGGCATTTGAGCTACACTGGAAAAGAGTGAGCTTGTAATATACCTGACATCGCAGTTTTCACAAAATCCAGGTTGTGTAGTTACATGGAGAAAAAGCAGCATTGTTTTACTAACTTGCTTAAAAGTGAAATGTTGAAAAACTTTAATTTTGTGGTGGCAAATAAATATATAGGAAAACTCATAAAGATGTAAAATTATAGCAATAATTTCAATAAAAGGGCAATTATTTTTACAATTTGACCATTCATTTATATAAAAACTGAAAATGTAGATTAGTTTCAATGTGGAGGATTTTGTTTAAAATGTTAATGTCAGCGCGTGAAGGATTTTTATTAAACTAAACTATTGTTATCTATATAGGTGGGATGGTGGCTCCCACCTGTAGCACTGTTGCCTCACAGCAAGAAGCTCGCTGGTTCGAGTCTCGGCAAGACCAGTTGGCATTTCTGTGGGGAGTTTGTATGTTCTCCCTGTGTTGGCATGCAAACTAGACTGTCTGTGTGTGTGTGTGTGTGTGTGTGTGTGTGTGCGCGCGTGTGTGCGTGCATGTGTGTGTGTGTGTGTGTGTGTGTGTGTGTGTGTGTGTGTGTGTGTGTGTGTGTGTGTGTGTGTGAATGACAGTGTATAGGTGTCCCAAAGTACTGGGCTGCAGCTGGAAAGGCATCTGCTGCTTAAAACATATGCTGAAATAGTTGGCGGTTCATTCCGCTGTGGAGAAGGTCGAAGCGGAAGGAAAATGAATGAATGAATTGTCATGTATATGTATGCTGTAAGTGTTGCCATTGCTTCTACTTGCTGCTCAGAGACATGCAGATCATTTTCATCAGAGATTGTTTTGTGTGTATTGTTTGGATTTGCCAGTATTATTATCATGAATGCTCCCTGAAGCTCGCAGAAGTCATTTCAGTGTTCAAACAAATTCTCATTTTGTGACGGCAACACTGATACCAGGCATTTTGAATAAGTGGCCTTGAGTGGGTACAACAGCAAATGTGGTCAAATCTCATCACATTGTGGAGAACTCACCTACAGTAGCTAGTGAACACAATTTTTTAGTCTACCAAAACACCACTGTTGTGTAAATGAAGGCCCAAAACTCAAAGTAGGTATTCTACTTTTAGTTGAAGTCATTGTCGTGTAAATGTAACCATAGTGACCTGCCTCATTGTCTAAAAATAACTATAAATGATCTAAAATTAAGAATAAGAGCCCTTAAAATGCTCGCTATGCTTTAGAACACAAACTTGCACGCATGCAGACTTTAAAGTGTGATGAGCCTCTGGATGGAGACTCACAGCGCCCACACTACAAAACAAATGAAACTAACTGAAATAACAAGGAAAGCAAGAGCAAGAACGAGGGAGGAAGGAAGAGGGTGACAGCAGCTGGCAAATATTTCCCAGCCTAGAGACACTGATACCAATTAGGAGCAAAGAAACAAGAACACACAGAAAGCAGAGAGCAGAGATGATTTACTGAGGGGCTGGAGGAAGAAAACGCTGAGCAAAAGAGATTCACATGAAAACATCACAATGGAAAATACAACATCAATTCCACCATGCAAGTGTCTTCAGAGTCAGGAACTGAATGGTCAGATTTCAGTCCTTGCATAAAATTAGCAGTCAATCATATTTAGTGTTTAATCAATGTTTAAAGGTTTTATGCTGGATGGAGCCCAGTGTGACAGTCTTTTTGCTTGTCATCCTTCAGGACTGGTTTCAGTTAACAGATGTGTTAAAAGCTTGCGCCACCTGCTGGCTACATAATATAAAACACAGTGTGATTGACCACCACAGGGGGGTTCTCATTTTTAGATGCCAAATGTGATGGCTAAAGTAACTCCCTCCCAAAATATATGTAAACTATTATTTCTTATTTTAGTTAAATATATATTTTACAGCAATTATTCATTTTTTATATGTGTTGTATATGTACATATATATATGTATGTATGCATGTATGTATGTATGTATATATATATATATATATATATATATATATATATATATATATATATATATATATATATATATATAAAACACTTGTTTATATATAATAAAATAAAAATACATTGCCTACCAACTAAATACAATATAAAAAAACTAAAGGTGAATGCTAAAATTTCAATATTTAAAAATTTGAAAAAACATTCATTCATTCAGTCTTTTTCTTTTCAGCTTTGTCCCTTTATTATTCAGGGGTCACCACACTTGAATGAACCACCAACTTATCCAGTATATGTTTTACACAGCAAATGCCATTCTAGCCGCAACCCAGTACCGGGAAATGCCCATACACTCTCATTCACACACATACACTACGGCCAATTTAGCTTGCCCAATTCACCGCTTGTCTTTGGACCTGTGGGGGAAACCGGAGCACCCGGAGGAAACCCATGCCAACACGGGGAGAACATGCAAACTCCACACAGAAATGCCAACTGAGCCAGCCAAGGCTTGAACCAGCAACCTTCTTGCTGTGAGGCGACAGTGCTACCCACTGAGCCACCCTGCCGCCCATAAATATACATATATTCGCTTTTTTATATATTAGGTTACAAATTTTAGCATTCATTTTTATCTTTTTTATTTTATTTGGTTGGAAGACAATATATTATTATTTAAAATATTTTACTTTTAAATGTTTTCTTTAATTATTAAACAGTGTTCTGATGCTGTGCTCACACCAGACGTGGAACGTGGGGATAAATTGTGTTATTCGCGCGTAAATAACCGCGTGAACAACTGAGTTTACTCGCTTGTTTACTCGTCAAATCCCCTTTATTCGCGCATCAAATTCCCTTTAGAACAGATGCGAATTCGCGTGATGGGCAGGACTTCTGTCTGCTTGGTGACTCTAGCTTTGTTGCTAAATGGCTAGCATGGATTTTATTAGGAAAATAACTGTGTTCATGTGCTTTATGAAGGCTGAAAAACAGCGTTGATATGTTTAGGAGTCTCAGTCCACTAGATCCTTTAAGAGCTGCATCCAGCTCTGTGAGCTCATAAACTCCTCCAGAAACTGAACCTGGATGATGGAGGCTTTCAGCGGTGCTTCTGACTGAGCTGAGCCCAGTTTGGTGAATGATTGTCGGTGTCGTCTGAAGGATTTCCCCCCGGACACCAACAACAGGCCCCATGTCACAATCACTCCCCCACAAGAGCAAGCTCCTGATTGGTTAACATGGCGCAAAAGTCCGCTTAAGTTCAGATTTTTGAACTCGAGCAATTCGCGTGAAACGTTAAATGGGCAAAACGCTCAATTCATGCCGCGCCATTCGTGCGTATCACGCCATTTGCACCCCGTCATACGCGCAAGTCGCATCATTCATGCCGTGCCATTCGCGCGTATCATGCCACTGGATGTTTTTTTGCGCGTTTTCATTGACTTAACATGTAAATCACTTGGGCTTGATGCTCCTTCCGCGTCTGGTGTGAACACAGCATAAAGAATTCCTTGTGTTTTTTTTTTTGAGATTTTTAATAATATTATTTTTAAGTTTACAAGTCTTGCATGTAAACTATTATAAATGGTATTATTATAATCTGAAATAAATAAAAATAAATATTAGGACATGATTTGTCACGGTTGTGGGTTTGTGCGCTCACCTGAGTGTTTTGGTTCCCTCATGCATGTGTTATTGGCTGCGTTCGATACCGCCTACTACTCGGTAGGTACTGCATTTAAATTGAAATGTACTACTCCGTCGTTAGAAAAGTGCGTTCTATATAGTATGAATGTGAAATGTATGAATGGAAATCGAACGTACTACATCTCCCATTTTGTCATAGTCATGTGCCCTACCTGCGTCAGTTGCGTCGCTTCACTCCCATTCATGAATTCTCTCACGAGGCATCATGGGATAGCGCAGCGTGCATGGGATGTGCACTTCAGGATCTCGCCGAAAGTAGTAAGTCATCCGGGTACTTCTCACATACTGATTTTCGAATTCTATAAATTCGGACATACTACTCGGCTCTCATACTGATTTTAGCGTACTATATAGTATGGAAGTATGCGGTTTCCGATGCAGCCATTGTGTCTGTGTTGTTTTGGTCACGTGTTTGGCATCATTAGCTGTTCTGATTAGCCGGTTAGCTGTGGCTCGTTATTGCGACTATATCTAAGTGGTGGCCCTATGTTTCCTTGTCAGTTCGTTTTGGTTTTTCATGTACTTTGTCTCTTATTTAGGACTAGGCATGGACCTGATTTAGGATTCCGTTTCGGATTTTGTTTCTCTGTCTGACTTCACACCTAATTTTTTCTTTGTTTATTTATATTGACTGTGGGTACTGTATATTACCTCTGGTCAATAAATCTTGCAACTGGATTCATCTGTTTTCTTTTGTTTAAGAAGCGTGACACGGTTTAATAATAAAATAAAAAATCATTAATTTTTCCTTTTTGAAAATAAGTTGCAAGAAATTTTATTTTAGTTTAATAAAAAATTATTTGTTTTTGTTATTTCCAAGAAACAGTGTTGTGTTAATATTCTTTATATACAGTGGGTACATTAATGTAGATGGCCCAGCCAGAGCCCTGACTTAAACCCAATTGAGTATCTCTGGAGGGACCAAATAATGGCTGTCCACCAATGTTTACCATCCAACCTGACAGAACTGGAGAAGATCTGCAAGAAGGAATGGCAGAGGATGCCCAAATCCAGGATGTGAAACAACGTGTTGCATCTTTCTCAAAACAATCATGGCTGTATTAGACCAAAAGGGTGCTTCTAAATACTAATCAAAGGGTCTCAATAATTAAGACAGTGTGCTATTTCAGTTTTTCTTTTTTAATAAATCTCCAAAAATGTCATCAAATCTTCCAACATGAGGTGCTGTGTGTACATTAATGAGGAAAAAATGAACTTCAAAGATTTTAGCAAATGGCTGCAGGGAGGGGGGGGGGTTGGGGGTCTGAATATTGTCCATACACACTGTATGTTATATTTTTAAAAAAAACTAATTCTAGCTTTTATCTCAACTATGAATAATGATAGCATTGTACAATTCATTAAATGCTAGCTTTATCTTTCTAGAGCATTTCCACCAACCTCCATCCTAGAACATAAAAACTACAAACATTATGTCACTTATAATCCACTGTATGATCTTAATAAATGTTTAAGATCTTTTGATTCAACGATGGAATTAATTTTATATCTCTCACATTATGACCTTCTTCCCGGCCAACATAGCATGATGATGTTGAGAAAGCAAAAGCAGAGGAGTGTGTGTACTGACCGCTGCTTTCATCACAATCTTATCATCAAACGTCTTATCAGTATTCCTCAGAGCTAATTAGCAGAGAGTCTGGATAAGCTCAGAATATTGATCATGCCTTACAAGACAGCAAACAGGGGGGTTCTACTGTGACACAGTAACTTAGCATGCTGCGTGTGCTAATGTGGTTGAAGTTGCCATCATCTCTGTTCATAGACAAAATGCTCACCACCAGTGTATCTCATAAATGCACATTAATTATGCAGTGAGTAGCCAGATGACAGACATTATATGTGTTCTGTAACGATAAGAAAAAATGTAATCGCTTTAATAGTGTAACTTCATTTTGCAAAGTTAAAACACCAGAACAGAGCAGTAACATGTTAGTCAATGAGTTTACTATTCCTTTAATCTGCTGTTCATTTCTTGTTTTGTTACTTTGGTTAGAACAGCATATAAAAGCCCCGCATCCTTCTGGAAAGCAGCAACTCATTTGCATTTAAAGAGACATACAAAAAAAGATGTGTTTCTGCTTAAACCCAAAAGGAGCAATTTTGACAAGCTGTAATAAATGATTTGTGGGCTACTTTGAGCGGAGATTTGTTTTACATCATATGAAAATGGCATAATATGTCCCCCTTTAATATTGTGTTTATGAACCTCACAGTTTCATAATAAAGATATCAGATGCCCAGAGGAGAACAGAGAGATAAAACAGCAGGGAAACAGGAGACGCTGCATTATGAGGATGAGAAAGTTAATAAATCACACAAATGCTGTCTCACCCTCATGCCCAGTAACAGGAACCCGATCTCTTCCATTAGAGGATACTTGCTGATCTGCTCTTGGCGCTTTTCTTTTGATGCAAATGGATCGTAGCTTTTCCTCCCGATCTTCACATCCATAATGCAGGGCCGCAAGAACCTCCTCGTCACATCCTCCAGCTTCAGATACAGCTCTGGGAAACATGAGAAACATGGTTCATTCACATTACTCACAGCACAAAATATCTATATATATTTTACAATTTTAATAAAAATATAGTTAGAATTTAAATGTTTATTCTTTTTTGAAACACAATCAGATGTGTTCCCCCAGTTAGTTTTGTAAAAGTATAAAAAGTTTTGTAAAAGCAAAAAAGTATTTACTATTGGCAGTTTTTTTCATTGGCAAAAATGACTTCAGTGTATAATTATTTACACTCACCGGCCACTTTATTAGGTACATATTACTAGTATCGAGTTGGATCCGCTTTTGCCTTCAAAACTGCCTTAATCCTTCATGACATAGATTTAACAAGGTACTGGAAATATTCCTCAGAGATTTTGGTCCATATTGACATGACAGCATCACGCAGTTGCTCTAGATTTGTCGGCTGCACATCCATGATGCGAATCTCCCGTTCCACCACATCCCAAAGGTGCTCTATTGGATTGAGCTCTGGTGACTGTGGAGGCCATTTGAGTACAGTGAACTCATTGTCATGTTTAAGAAACCAGTCTGAGATGATTTGAGCCTTATGATATGGCGTGTTATCCTGCTATAAGTAGCTACTAGAAGATGGGTACACTGTGGTCATAAAGGAATGGACATGGTCAGCAACAATACTCAGGTAGGCTGTGGTGTTGACAAGATGCTCAATTGCTACTAATGGCCCCAAAGTGTGCCAAGAAAATATCCCCCACACCATTACACCACCACCTGAACACATTGATATAAGGCAGGATGGATCTATCCTTTCATGTTGTTGGCACCATCCAAATGTCACAGCAGAAATCGAGACTCATCAGACCAGGCAACCAATCTTCCAGTTTTTTCCAGTTTTCGTGAGCCTGTGCGAATTGTAGCCTCAGTTTCCTGTTCTAAGTGGCACCCAGTGTGGTCTTCTGCTGCTGTAGCCCATCCACCTCAAGGTTGGATGTGTTGTGCATTCACAGATACCTCGGATGTAACGAGTGGTTATTTGCCTTTCTATCGGCTCTAACCAGTCTGATCATTCTCCTCTGACCTCTGGCATTAACAAGGCATTAGCAACCACAGAACTGCCGCTCACTTGATATTTTCTCTTTATCAAACCATTCTCTGTAAACCCTAGTGACGTTTGAGCATAAAAATCCCAGTAGATCAGCAGTTTCTACAGTTACAACTATGACACGCATAAATGCTTTAAGATGCTGCACTGATATTGGTTGATTACAAATTTGCGTTAACAAGCAGGTGTACCTAATGAAGTGGACGGTGGATATATATAGATAATAGAAGTCATTTAAATATGTTAATTTAATTTGTTAAATAATAAAATTATTAATGTTATTATTATTATTATTAGTGTTAATAATGTTTGTGCTACTTAGTAATTTTGTAGAATTCAGTATTCAGTTCATGATTTTCATCGAAAGAATCTATTTTTAAATATTTTTAAAAATATTTTTATAATGTAAGGTATTTACTGTCAGTTTAGATCAATTTTTTTTGTGGCTTTGACTAATATTTATTTGTTTTTTAATAATTAAGCATTAATGAAACATTTAATTATAGATTAATGGTATTTTATCTTATTAGTTAATGTTATCTTATTGGTTTTTAACGGTGTGCATTACCACTAAAAGCAAAAATCTACATTTCAAAATTTTGTCAAGGCAAATAAAAATCCAAACTACAGACCCTGACAGGCGAGTCCTGAAACATCATTAAACAGATTTCATCTCACCACCTGAGTGCTTCATAACTCATCTGAACAATCACACTGAACACTGCGCCTTTAAGATAGTGATGATTCGGACGCCAAGCGACAGTTTGCCAACTGATAAGCCTTTACTGCCAGTCAATTATTTCTGACAAGTTCTTTTCCAATGCCGTCGACTGACACTGGACTTTATTGGGTGTCATTACTGGGACGGTCGAATACACAAACATGAGGCACACAGAGGACAGCAGTGTAAAGTCCAATATTAAAAACCTGAACACTCCTTGAATGCACACAGACTTTACACAGACTAAACAAATACATCAGCAACAAAGCACATGTACTTTGGACAATGGAAACACCCATAATGAAGATATAAGCTCTTTATGAGCTTTAGAAGAGCATACCGCTGCTGAATGACATCCTATACCACATACCAAACCGTCTATCAATTATTAACTTATTAGCAGCCCTACATCCACCAAACAGAGGCAACACTGTTAACTAGAGCTGACCTTCAAGCTGGACTGCTGAACTAACAGTTTAAATGGAACTGAACTAACACAACACCACACCATAGCGACTTCAAGTCAATGAATTTAGCTTAATTTAACTTCATCAATGGAACATCTGTGAATATTAAACTCAACTAAGTGAAGTTTGATGAAAAAAGACTCAAATAACTTTTGAAGATTGAACGTTTTACTCATGTTACTAACATGATCAACATTTTGCTAGCCTGAATTAGCATGTTTAACATGTTACGCAGATTAAGATGTTTCTAGTGTGCTTTACCACATTGCTAACATGTTTTGCTAACATGCTGTAGTCATTAATTAGCATGTTTCTAACATGTTAACATACTATTATCATTAATTTGTATATTGCTATGCTTTTAGTTTTAGTGAACGTTCATAGTAATAGCAGTCCTAGCATGAATTAGCAAGTTTTAATCTGCTTTAGCACACTGTTACAATGTTTCTTGTACTGATTAATGCAACAGAAGTTGTTAACATGTTACTACCATAGATTAACATTTTACTAGCATGTTTTAAGCATTTAATATGTGGTAAGTGCTCATGTTGTTAGCATAAATTAGCATGTTTAACAAGTTACAGGAATTAACATGTTTCTAGTGTGTTTTACTTGCTAACCTGTTTTGGTATGGCGCTGACCATGTTGTTTGAATTTATTTTATTTAACAGGCACAATGCTCATTAATAAACAGTAAAACTGTAAATAAGCCAGAGTTAGCCACAGGGGCTAATTTTCATCTGTTGCCCCCTGCCAGATTTTAAAAGGCAACCTAAAAATCAAAAAATGCCACATACAAAAACAGTAAAGTTACATATGACAAAGGGATGAAACATGTAATAAGAATTTCTTAAAATGTTAAACAAAAGAATTACACATGATTACAAACTTGATTTGCTTTTAGCCATTTCTTTAACTTGTATTTAAAAGTTGAATCATTTGTAACACCCCTTAAATCAATAGGAAGTGCGTTCCAAAAATTACTCTATTTGAGAAGACTGATTTGTGCAAAAGTTGTACGTCTAACTGCACAGCACAGTGTCCCCAGGTAACAGATTGTGTTCCTTGACCATTAGTATTCTTTTGTGTCACAAACTCACATAATGGAAGTGGAGCAAATTTTAAAAATCATACAAGCATCAGCCAAATATTTCATATTATCAAAGCTCAATAAAAAATATTTTTATACTATATTTATATTATATTTTTGTATTATATTACAATGATGATACCTAATAGACTTCTTATACTTACTATACTGACTTCAAATACTTTAAGTGCCTGTCTATAAAGTGATGCAACTGATTTTAAAACTGTTTTACTAGCGTGTGACCAACTAGCAAGACAATATGTAATATGAGAAAAATTCATGGAGTGCATAAAAAGTTTTGCAGCTTCATTAGTCGAGTAAGGCCATATATGCCTGAAGTTGGCCAGATTAAATTCAACAATTTTAGTGACCTTATTGGCATGCTTTTTGAATGTCAATTGTTAATCTAAAATTAGACCTAAATATTTAAAATCAGAGACAACCCTGAGCTTTTTCCCTTTAACAAATACATCAGGATGATGGGTAACTGTCAATGATTGTGAGAAAAACATACAAACCGTTTCACTTGTATTCAAATAAGGATATGATTCACACAAGCAATCAGATACAAGAACTAATGCCTCGGTTAAATAATTTGCTGTTGATAGTAAGATAGGCTACTGTTAGCATTAGTAAGTATATTGCTAGCATGCATTTAGCATGTGTAGCATATTATTATACTTAAATGTTATCATGAATGTTCCTATCCGCTTGTTAAGTGGTCACGTTTGTAATACTGTTTGCAGGTCCAAGCCGCCATTCATTTGAGTGAAGAAATCACTCGTTTATGATCATGTTTTATTCCTATCACACATTAAAGTTAATTTTATATAAAATCATAGTGTACACAACAATCTCTGGGCTTGATGCATAAAAAATACCAAAAATGTAACAATTTATAAAAAAATGAGTCACTTTCTGGCCATCGGATATTAGGCATGGACATATATATTGCGATCGTGATTTTCGAAAGTATTAAATCGCTTTGTAAACGTTTATTATTACCATTTCATGAGTCTCCCCATTCAGTTGAATAGAGCGCTTGGACCCGGAAGCCGCTTTGCGTGACGTCACACTTAACAAGCGGATAGTAAAGTAAGACTAGCATAAATTAGCATACTGTTTTAGTTCCAGCATGACTAGCATGTTACAGGCAGGTTTTTAATATTAAACTGCTAACATATTTCTATCATGAATTAATGCATTAGAAATTATTAACACCTTTCTAACATGTATTTCATGTTGCTAATATGTTTTAGCCTCTTTAACATTTACATGTTGTTTGAATGAAATAGCATGTCGCTAGCATGTTTCTGTTATGTATTAGCACATCATTTAATTAGATTACATAAGATTATAAACAAGTCACAGAAGTTATTTCATGTGAACTATATCTACAACAAAGCAGGACATTATAGTTCTTACCATGTGGCGACTCTCGTGGTGACCATGTGCCAAAAAACTTAGGGAGATGTTGCTGAAGCTCTAGTAGCCTTGTGTCTGTGCAGTCTTTAGCATATACCTGCAGGAAAAAACAGGACATGTGATTTAGCTTTTTTTCTACATCAGAAACTCCAGACTTATACTCTTCTATTTAGTACTTAGACTCTCAAGCTGTTAATATACAGTGTAATGAAAAACTGTATAGTTAAGCTGAACATGATGCATTATGGATTACGCCTAAAAAATTGAGACTTTCTAAGACCTTATAATACTCTTTAGTTAAACAGTAGGTACGCTAGAAGAAAACATTACACTGTATCATTTTGAAAATGATATAAAAATATTACATTTAATTTGTTCCCTCATTAGTTAAAATTAAATAACAATAATATGAGGATTAGAGGAACATTCAATTTTATCATTCATAAAAAATTGCAACGTTTTTCCAAGTTTTTAAAATGACCTGTTCTTTAAATACAGGGTTCATACACATTTTTAATACTAAAATTCCATGACCTTTCCATGATTTTTTCAAGACATTCAGGTAAATTTTCATTACCTAATGTTTCATGCAATGTTTACATATCTGTGGCAAAAGAAAAACAACAATGCATGTTCAAATTTATTACAGCATATCCCAAAACACAACAATCTATTTAGTTTAAATCTATATTTCATTCATTCATTCTTATTTAGGCATTATACCCTTTATTAACCACCAACTTATCCAGCATATGTTTTACGCAGCTGATGCCCTTCCAGCTGCAACCCATAACTGGGAAACATCCATACACACTTATTCACACACATGCATACACTATGGACAATTTAGCTTACCCAATTCACCTATAGCATTACATACCAACTGACCCAGTCGGGGCTCAAATTAGGGATCTTCTTGCTGTGAGGCAATTGTGCTACCCACTGTGCCACCGTGATGCCAAATTTATATTTATATCTATGTACAATTTATTTAGACAATGCTTACACCACACTAATATTGTGAGTATGTGACTGGCTAAGGACAGAATATAGCAGTCAAGACAACTAACCTATATTCAAGTATACAGATATCTGTTTTCCATGACTTTACCAAAACTTTGCAAGTTTTTCTATTTTTCACCAAAACTTTTCCAGGCCAAGAAAATGCCATGTCAAAATTCCATGACTTTTCCAGGATTTTCATGACCATATGAACCCTGTAAATATTAATTAAAGAATTAATTAAATATTAATTAATATAAAAATGTTTCCAATTCTTACTTACAAAACAAAAAAAAGTTTTGTCCCAAATAGTGCTTGGCAAAAAGTAATCTTGATAAATGACATCCAAATTAAAGGTTTATTTAAGTGTACTGTGTATATGTATTAAATTATATAAGAATATAATACAAATTATATGTACATATAAATACCTATAAAATTGTTTTGGGGCAGCACAATGGCGCAGTGGGTTACACAATCACCTCGCAGCAAGATGATCGCTGGTTCGAGCCCCGGCTGGGTCAGTTGGCATTTCTGTGTGAGTTTGCATGTTCTCCCTGTGTTGGCGCGGGTTTCCTCCAGGTGCTCCAGTTTATGTTGTAAAGGTGAATTGGGATGGCTAAGTTGTCTGTAGTGTATGTGTATGAATGAGTTTGTACATGTATTTCCCAGTGATGGGTTGCAGCTGAAAGGGCATCCGCTACATAAAACATATGCTGGATAAATTGGCAGTTCATTCCGCTCTGGCGACCTATATATGTATATATATATATATATATATTTATATACAATACACACTCATATATATTGTGTCAAAACAAACCTTTATTTTGGATGTGATTAATCGCGATTAATCTTTGCCCATCACTAGTCCTAACATTTACATTTTACAAATTGCTAGTGAAGTTTATGATCCAAATCTTCACATGACCTCTCAAAAATCATAAAAAATATTCAATATGCCCATTTTTTTGCTATTTTCTAGGTATATAAAATGTATTTTCTAAATAAAAAGCATCAATAAATAGCTTTAAAATTAACATATAGACGTTTAGCTGCTTGCCTGTGTGTAGAAGTGCATTTCTCGTGGGCCTCTCGGAGGAGACTGGAGCTGTTTCAGGATTGTTCCATCAGGATGCTTCAAAACACCTGCGCAATGGCAAAGGAAAGAAAAAAAACCTTGAAACCGTGCTGACACTTTATCATTGTGACATCTTATGAGTATTTTGTGACTGAACGGTTGTATGGAGGCAAGGAAAACCTCTGAAGAGAAAGAGTTAAGCCACATAAATGAATGAGTATGAGAATTACAATGACGGCAGAAATTTTAGGATTTAATCAACAGCTGACAAGACAGTGCACTGATGCGTAAACTGCAAACTCACCAAAGTTGCATTTGTTTAATCAAAATTACAGTAAAAATTAAATACTGAGATGTTATATATACAATTCATATATTAATAAATCAGAACTTTTAGCCCCCCTTTTTCACTTAATGTCAAAATTTTCAAATTTTCACTGATTGTCTGATAATATTTTTTCTTCTGAAAAAAAAGTCTTTTTTATTTCAGCTAGAATAAATGATTTAATTTTTTAAAATATAAGCTTTTATAAGCTATTTTTTTTTCTCGATAGTCTACAGAACAAACCATCGTTATACAATATCTTGCCTAATTACCCCATCCTGCCTAGTTAACTTAATTAACCTAGTTAAGCCTTTATATATCACTTTAAGCAGTATAGAAGTGTCTTGAAACATATCTAGTCGAATAATATTTACTGTCATCATGACTAAGATAAGATAAAACAGTTATTACACATTAGTTATTAAAACTATTATGTTTAGAAATGTGTTGAAAAAAAGCTGCTGTATTCATTCCTTTAATGGAAATGTTGGATTTTCAGTATCATCAGTATCCCATGTTCCTTCAGAAGTCCTACACAAAAAAGTCGGTAACACTTTACAATAAGGTTCATTAGTTAATGCATTTACTAACATGAACTAATCATGAACAACACATGTACAACATTTATTAATCATAATTGAACATTTACTAATACATTATTAACATCCAAGTCCATGCTTGTTAACATTAGTTAATGCACCATGAGTTAACATGAACTAACAATGAACAACTGGATTTTCATTTACTAACGTCAACTAACATGAACAAATACAGTAGTAAATTTACATGTTAGTAAATGCATTCATTAACATTAACTAATGAACCTTTTTGTAAAGTGTGACCAAAAAGTCAATGGTAATGGTGATTTTAATGGTGATGTTAATTGAAATAAACAGTAAAAATGTAGGACCATACAGTGGCTATCACTGTCGCCTCACTGCATAAAGGTCACTGGTTGAGATCAGTTGGCATTTCTGTGTGGACTTTGCATGTTCTCTCCTTGTTGGCATGTGTGGTTTCCCCCACAGTCCAAAGACATGGTATAATTGAATTTAACAAGCTAAATTGGCTGGTGTATGTGTTTAAATAAGTGTGTATGGGTGTTCCCCAGTACTGGGTTGCAGCTGGCAGGGCATCCGCTGTGTAAAACATATGCTGGATAAGTTGGCAGTTCATTCCACTGTGGCGACCCCTGATTAATAAAGGGACTAAAAGTGAATCTAAAAATATAAGAAATTCCATTTTTCCAGTAAGATGATATTTTATGGAAGATTTGGTAGCTCTGGATTATGATTTTAAAAATTGCTCCAACATAAATAAATATTTTTCCATAATTTACAAACTACACACACTAAGATACAATAGTTTACACAAATGATATATTTTGTCAACTATTTTTACGACAAGGGTGACGTAGTGGCGCAGCAGGTAGTGCTGTCACCTCACAGAAAGAAGGTTGCATGCTCCGGTTTCCCCCACAAGTCCAAAGGCATGCGCTATAGGTGAATCGGGTAAGCCAAATTGTCCATAGTGTATGTACTGTATGTGTGCAAATGAGTGTGTATGGGTTTCCCAGTGAAGGGTTGCAGCTGAAAGGGCTGCATAAAACTGCGTAAAACATATGCCGGATAAGTTGGCGGTTCATTCCACTGTGGCGACCCCAGACTAAGGGACTAAGGCAAAAAGAAAATGACTTAAGTTCATTATGCATTTTATGTTGCATCTGTTAATGAATAATGTTTATTGCATTGCTTTACGTTTAGTAGTTGTGTGAATGACACTGAGCACCTTCTATATATAAATATGCTTTTCAGCTTGCGGGAAAAGTTGATTATGATGAGCTTTTTTTTATCATACTGTATGACTTTCTCATCACCACATGCTTACGGTTGCATTTTTGTCCGTGACAAAGCTATGTTATAATTATGTTAGTACTTCAAAAGATTGATGTATGACTCTAAAATTTATGAAATACGGTAAAGTATTGTAAAATAGACATTTATTTTGTTCATACTTTATACCATAGTTTAACGGTATTATTTTGACATTTAGACACTTACACACTGTTATCGATCTTTGTAAATTACGCAGTATTTTACTGTAATGTGTACTGTATTTTACTGTAGGACGGTTATGTGGTGTTACTGTATTTTAAAGTTCTGCACTGTGAAAATGACTGTATATTTTACAGTAAAGCCATACAATACTGTAAATATAAATGGTGCTGTAAATGTAAATACAGCATTTTCGCTTTCATTTATTTACAGTAAGATACTGGCAAACTGCTGCCAGTAAGTTACTATAAATTGTACAGGAAAACATTAACAGTGCAGAAGCTGATTTTAGGCGACGCAGTAGCGCAGTAGGTAGTGCTGTCGCTCACAGCAAGAAGTTCGCTGGTTCGAGCCTCGGCTGGGTCAGCTGGCGTCTCTGTGTGGAGTTTGCATGTTTCTTTGCATTTGCCTGCTCTGGTTTCCCCCACAGTCCAAAGACATGCGGTACAGGTAAATTGAGTAGGCTAAATTTTCCGTAGTGTATGAGTGTGAATGAGCATGGATGTTTCCCAGAGATGAGTTGCAGCTGGAAGGGCATCCGCTGCGTAAAAAACATATGCTGGATAAGTTGGCGGTTCATTCCGCTGTGGCGACCCTAGATTAATAAAGGGACTAAGCCGACAAGAAAATAAATGAAACCTAAAATGTTATAGTTTTTTACCGTTTAAAATGATGATCAGAAGTAATGCTGTTATTGTGCTATATTATTATTATTAACATTGTTGTAAACAGCTAGTAACATTTTTGTGGATTATATGATTTCAAAATTCTCTGATAAACAGAAAATGCATAACAACCATCACAGTTACCACAGTAATCCTGCTTGTGCTGGAAACGTCATTCAAAACGCTTTATTTTGAAATGAGTGTGAGCTTTAAATGACTTGGTGCTACAGAACTGTCATTTCCTTAACACAAGAACAGCTAGACAAAGTGCTGACCACTGACAATCTGGCGGTCCATCAGATAACAGCTCACTTCTCGTTATTCAGAAAATCCCCCATGACAGAGCCACTAATGATGCACATGAGAGTTACTACAGCAGAGGAAATGATGTCATCTCACTGCTGGCACTGAGGCGGCGTAATGCTTATTTTCATAGGAATCACCATGACAATATTCCACGTTAAACAGAGTGACAACAAATTCTATGACCTTTCATTAAACTATAGCTGTCTTGTCTAATACTCTAATACTTTTGACATATTACATTACTCAATCCATTACTCAGTGTAAAGAAGACTCCTTTTGGAATTTCTGTCATTCATTCATTCATTTTCTTTTTCGGGTTAGTCCCTTTATTAATCTGGGGTCACCACAGCGGAATGAACCGCCAACTTATCCAGCATGTTTTACCGCAGCGGATGCCCTTCCAGCTGCAACCCCCTGTCTGGGAAACATTCACACACACTCATTTACACTCATACACTATGGACAATTTAGCCAACCCAATTCATCTGTACCACATGTCGTTGGACTGTGGTGGAATCCGGAGCACCCGGAGGAAAGCTACGCGAGCGCAGGGAGAACATGCAAACTCCACACAGAAATGCCAACTGACCCAGCCGAGGCTAAAACCAGCGACCTATTTGCTGTGAGGCGACAGCACTACCTACTGTGCCACTGCTTTGCCAGAATTTCTGTCATAATTCGGATAATTTTAATGGAGATTCTGTGCCAAAAGGAATATGATTATCTATGGGATCAATGTCATATAGGATTGGGAAAGTAATTTAAATAAAATTTTTAAGTTTCAGTTCTTCAAAAAAAAAAAAAAAAACTCCTGACCCTCATTTATCCAGTGGGATGAAATTTTATTATGAGGGATCTGGAAGAGTCGTTCCAGATTATGATTAATTATAAAAAATGGTTCCAATATTAAAAAAAAAAAAAAAAAAACTTCTGGTTCCACCCCTCCCTTGCTTTATTTTTATGTTCAATATTATTTTAATATGTATATGTAATTTTTTTTCTTTCTCTTCTTCACTTTAGCTGTTTAAGGTTCCCTGATTTGGCTTCTACTAACATTCCTTTATTGCAGTTTCTAATATCTTAATCTGTTTGTCTATTACCCCTTTAACTACCCCACCAAGAAAAATGTTTGGATTGCATTTCTTAACTCCTAATGTCTCTAGTTAACACACAATGCATTTTTTTCAACACATCCCATAATTTCTAAAATATCAACCTGTACCAAATGGTTGATATGTCAGTTTATGGTAAAAGTACCGGAATGCATAATGAAGTGTAAGACCAATATATTAAAAAAAGATATTCAAAATAAAAAAAATTGAATACTAAATCATCTTTATTTTTTGAAGTATCGTATAAAAATATTCTCAGATTTAAATTTTCAAACAATACAACCAAAATAAAAAAAAATTGCTCCAATATAAAATATTGCTCCAACATAAAAATTGCTCCAACATAAATAGCCTAAATATTTTGCCATAATTTACAGAAAACACACCATAAAATGTCAATTTGTGCAACAGTTTATATATCATAAATCTCGTAAGGCATATTTAAAACAAGAATCATCTTTTTTTTAAAGGTTAAAAATGAACACAGTGCTACATCAGTTATACGTTTAATATTTACATTTGCACTACATTTATTCTTTTCATTTTATTTTTTTAAAATACAACTGGCCAACAATTTATCATTGTTTTTTTAAAGATAATATATTTTAATAACTAGGCCTACAGGGTAGAACGTTGTTTTAAGTTTGCAAAAACATATGTTAAACTTACTGAAATTGGAACATATTTTACTCAGTTATTTAACTCATTATTTAACTAATTTACATCGAAAGTAACACAACCAAACAACTATTCCAATGGGAATTCACATGTATTCTTTTATACATGTATTTCTTAAATCTGATGTTAAAAATTAAGGACAAACATGCGTAATTCGTATTTGACACACGATATAAACTGACCAGTGTTATTGATCCCGCATTTATGTCCGGCCACCTGATGAGAGAAAGGCACACATCCATCCAGCAGCCTCTGTTTAACTGACTCGTGGGTATGATTTCCATTCTCCAGCTGTACCAGAGTAAACTTGGAGACGATCTGACCATCTGCAGACATGTCCAGCCTCACAATTATCAGAGTTTACTCGAAGCTCGCAAAACTTCTGTTAATGGTTTTCCATACTATCTGACTGTCATTCTACAGGAACATTAATCGCTCATTGATTGGTTAAATGTTACCGGTCGTACGCGCGTCCAAAGCCCTCAAAGTTTGCGTTCATTCCCTCGCATATGCGGCTTGGTTTTTTTTTCTTTTTTCTATCTCCACTGATGGAGCGCAACGCGTCGGGTTACTGAATGAATCGTGACGTCACAGAAAGGTCCACCAATCAAAGTTGGCGTCAGCACATGTTGAGTTCTTGAGCGTCGCGTCTTTTTTTTTTTTTTTTTGCTAACATTTGCCCAACAATACAGGTGTGAAGAATAAATGTGATGAACAGAGAAACAGGAGTTGGGAATATTGCCCAACAACATTTCAGTAGTGAGTACAAGCAACAGAGAGAGAGAAAAAAATGAATGAATAAATATATTAAATAATACAAAAATTGCTAAATATACTAAACCAAGTATAAGATAATAAAGATTAAAAAAGCCAAGGAATTCACAGCATAAATAGCATCAGTACGAATTATATAAAACACAACAAAAACAACACATATTCAATGTTTTAGTTGCTTTTATGTTAGAAGAGGTAGAGAGAGACTTAGGCTAATTCTTGATATCTGTTTGAAAATGAAAAAAATTAGGGGTGATATTCATTACATTGCATTAATAGCTTGAAATATATATATATATATATATATATATATATATATATATATATATATATATATATATATATATATCACACGGGTAGCAGTGCGATATGGCTGTATATCGGCAATGGTGGAAGGCATGCGTCTTAGTGCCCCCACCAGTGCCGATATACAGCCATATCGCACTGCTACGAGTGTCATATTGCGTTTATACAACAGTTTGACGGCATAATTGTGTATATAAAAACAAAATCAAACATGGAGATTCTCAAAAACCCTTTTGTGTGAGGAACTACTTTCTTCCACGTTGGATTCAAATCATAGGCTGACAGTTACACAGCCGAGCAAGCATCTTTTAAACTTTACATCTGTAGATCTGTAGGTGAATTGGGGAAACCGGAGCACCCGGAGTGAATGCAGGGAGAACATGCAAACTCCACACAGAAACGCCAACTGAGCCGAGGCTCGAACCAGCAACCTTGCTGTGAGGCGACACCTACTGCGTCACTGCCTCACCCATCTTAATGATTATCAATTATCTAAAATCCTTAATTAAACAAAAGCGTTTTCATTCTCAGCAAGAAGGTCACTGGTTCGAGTCCCGGCTGGGTCAGTTAGCATTTCTGTGTGGAGTTTGCATGTTCTCCCTGTGTTCATGTGGGTTTCCTCTGGGTGCTCTGGTTTCCCCCACAGTCTAAACGCATGCACTATAGGTGAATTGAAAAAACTAAATTGGCCGTAGTATATGTGTATGAATGAGAGTGTTTCCCAGTACTGGGTTGCAGCTGGATGGACATTCACTGTGTAAAATATATGCTGGATAAGTTGGCAGTTCATTCCGCTGTGGTGACCACAGATTAATAAAGGGATTAAGCCAAAAAGAAAATGAAAGAATGAGTTGGCGGTTCATTCCGCTGTGGCGACCCCTGGTGAATAAACAGACTAAGCAGAAGGAAGATAAATGAATGTCTCCCAACATCGGTTTCACATTGTTTATTTAACATCAAACTTGTACATAGAATTTTTCTAAGAGACAGCGAAAAAAACAGGTCATCACAATGCTCGATGTAACATATACTTTTGTTGTTGTTCTGCTATAGAAACAGACCAAGTACATCTTTACGCATGAGAGCCAAAGTCTGCCAAATTATATTTTAAATTGACATAAAACAGGACCCAGCAGATCCAGAGCACAACTCAACACATTCAGAGAGATTCGATTTCATTTCCAATACACTAAATGTCAGTGATTAGTTAAGGTCACATGTGAATTTATTAGGCAACACACTCGAAAGGACACAAGAAGCTGGACGTTTGGTTTCCATTCAACATTTACATTCTGTCACAACAAACAAGACTAGGTTTCAACTCATACCAAGGTGTTTTTTCTTTGTTCAAGTTTAATATGTATCATGTCTACTACAGTAACATGACCAGTGTTTAAGCACAGGAACACATTTAGAAGTGTTTAGCTGAACCAGAATACATCAGTCATCTTATAAAGCCTTTAAGCAGATAAGAAGAGAAAATAAATATGTATTGCTAAACCACCACCCAGATATATTAGAACAGGGGTGTACAAACACTGTCCTTGAGGGCTAATGTCCTGCATAGTTTAGCTCCAACTTCCTTTAACACACCTGCCTGGAAGTTTCTAGTATTTCTAGAAAGAGCTCGATTAGCTGGTTCATGTGTGTTTAATTGGGGTTGGAACTCAAATATGCAGGACACCGGCCCTCCAGGATTGAGTTGGGGAACTCCTGCATTAGAATATACACACTGCAAATAATGCTTTACTTATATATGAGTCTTGTTTCTAGTCCAAACATCTAAGAATTTTTTGCATCCAGACAAGTAAATAATAATGTTTTATTTTCAGAAATAATATGTCATAATTAAGTGAGTTTTGCCTTAAAACAAGCTAAATAATCTGCCAATGGTGTAAGCCGCCAGTGTTTCTCAACCATGCTCCTGGAGGACCACCAACACTGCATGTTTTGGATGTCTCCTTTGTCTGTAACACCCATTTCAAGTCTGTTAGGTTCTGCTAATGAGCGGTTGATCTGAATCAGGTGTGTTTGGTTAAGGAGACAAGGAAAACGTCCAGTGCTGGTGGTCCTCCAGAAGTGTGGTTGAGAAACACTGGTTTAAGCAAATTAATCTTGCTATCGGTTTGAAGTCTGTTTTTTTATGATCCCTTTGGCAGATAATTAAGCTTAATTTGAGAAAATATGCACTTATTTTGTACTTGTTTAGACAAAGCCTCATGGTTTAAGATTTTTTTTTTACATATTTTGACGACAAACAAGACAAAAACTCTAAGAAAAGCATTTATTTGCAGTGTATTATAGGTCTGAGAGCAGATCACAGGAAACTCTCAACCATATAGTATCAAACACACACACACACAAGGTAATATAATACCACTTTTAATCCCACCACCCCAGAACACACACACACACACACACACACACACACACACACACAAAGCGAAAATACATGAATCTCTATCACTGAGAACAGTGGAAATGCTCAGGCCTCTTTGCGTTTGATGATCAGAGGACCGACATTGTCTCCCGTTTCTTGATTGTGTTTAGCATGAGCTCCATCGCAGAATGGAAACTGGAAGAAAGAGAACTTTGATTAGAAAAATATGATTGCAGGTGACTCAGCAATATCACCGAGACTATAAACCTCATGAGTCTCACAACTCTTTATCAAAATCTGAGCATGCGAGTTTGGGGAACTGAGACTTTATGAAAGAAAGAATGGATGGAAGGATGAATCATATTAAGGGCAACATGGTGGCTAAGTGGTTAGCACTGTCGCCTCACAGCAAGAAGCAAGGGCATCTGCTGTCTAAAGGATGGGCCGGAATAGTTGGTGGTTCATTCCGCAGTGGAAATGTTTACAGTATTTCCAATTATATTTTTTCTTCTGAAGAAAGTTGGTTTTATTTCATCTAGAATAAAATAATTTCTTTTTTTTTAAACCATTTAAATGTCAATATTATTAGCTCCTTTAAGTAACCATTGTTGTACAATAATTTGCCTAAATACCCTAACTTGCCTAATGAACCTAGTTAAGCCTTTAAATGTCACTTAAAGCTGAATACTAGTATCTTGAAAAATCTAGTCAAATATTATGTACTGTCATCATGGCAAATATAAAATAAATCACTTATTAGAAATGAGTTATCAAAACTATTATGTTGAAAAATGTGTTGAAAAAATCTGCTTTCCGTTCATGAGTTCATGGCAGTTTGATTTACCCTTGTAAAACATGACTTGCAAGTTTTGCAGGAGCTAAAGGGAATGCTAACAGACAGGTTAAAGGTAAACGCCTGGATTCAATCACACCCAGGTGCAAATGTAGACACTTATTTGATTTCATGAAGGTTAGTTTCAGGAACCGGCAATTGTAGAACATTCAATCAATTTTAATTTGGACAGCAGGCAGCGATACACAAACTCTCTTTTTCAGTATTGACCCTTTCCACAAGAATGTTACGATGCATTTAACAGTCAGTCATCGTTAGGCATGCAACAATTATAGATTTTGGTTGTACGATTACAGTCTGAGAAAAAAACACGGTTTGATGGTTATCACGATTATTATGCCTTTATTCGTTTCAAAACACTACTAGTTCAGAAAATCACACGAAAACTCATGTTTTAAAGTGTTGTATTATTTGGTTACTGAGCAGCAATAAATAACACAAAAAAACAATAATAAAAACAAACAATAGTCCATTTCGCTCTTTGGACATAAAAAGAAGTAAAAAAAAAAATCTGATTTTAAACATAAGTAATAATTTTACACTAAAATAAATGACAGAACAATAAATAAATGAATAAAGAGAGAGAGGATTTTGAGTTTATTGCCATTTCAGCTTCTTTGGCTATGTCATGGCAAAAAAAAAAATGACCACATTTTATAAATACATTTTTTATATAGTTATAAAAATATTCTAACAATTAAAAAAGTCGCCAACAGCAATAAATAATACACAAGGTAAAATACATACATTAATAATAATAATAATAATAATAATAATATACAAGATACAAATCTACAACAGTTTTTTAAGGTTTACATTTAATTTAAAAAAATTAAAAATTAGAAGGATTCACATTTAAAAATATTTCATTTAAAGTCTCTCCAGAAAATAATTGTTGTCTGATAATATTAAAAATAGGGCATTCCACAATAGTATGTTTAACATATATAATATGTTTGGTTTCTTTTGCGATATTGACATTTTGGTTGTTCTTTTCCTTTAAGCAAATGTTCATATGCGAGTCTTGTGTGTCCAATGCAGCATCATCTATAAACAATCTCATCGTGTCTTGAGTTGAAAAATAAATTAGATTTTCTTCCTTGTTCTGGCTGAATTTCAAAAAGTTTGTTTTCTGAGCATTGATCTCCTTCTGTTTGCCATTTATTTAGAATATAGTCCTTTATTAGTGGCTTTAGATCTGAAGGTAGGATTTTGCACTCCTTTAGCTTTCCTGTAAGGGCTGTTATGGCGGCTTTGTTGGCTTGCTCATTTCCAAATAATCCAGTATGCCCTGGGATCCAGCAGAAAACTATATCATAAAACTTTCTCTGTAGTTCGTTTACTTTAATAAAAATGTCATTAATAATGGGTAAATAGTAAATAGTACTATAGTAAATATTCAAAATTGAGCTTAGATCTGGAATGCGAAATGCCGTAGTGTGATTGACCCATTACGACTGCTGCAGAAACATGACTGTCCTTCTTTGATCCATTCGTGTATATTAGTATACGAGTAGGATACATTTTTTATCTCAGTAACTTCTTGTTGATATGTATGTGGAAAAGTATCAGCCTTCTTATGCTTGCTCAGTTCCAGATTAACATGCAACTTATTTAACCTCCATGGTCCGAATAAATAAATAAATAAATACATAAATCGTATTTGACTAATGTAAATCTAATCTATATATTAGCTAAGTATTTAAATGAACTGTTGTTATCATCTTTGTTCATATATACATAATAATTTTTTAGAAATGTAATAATTCGTCTAACACAGGGGTGTCCAAACTCAGTCCTGGAGGGCCGGTGTCCTGCATAGTTTAGCTCCAACTTGCCTTAACACACCTACCTGGAAGTTTCTAGTATATCTAGATAGAGCTTGATTAGCTGATTCAGGTGTGTTTAATTGGGGTTGAAGTTAAAATCTGCAGGACACCGGCCCTCCCGGATCGAATTTGGGCACCCCTGGTCTAACATATCTTTTGCTTACATTGCACAGAAAGGAACCCACAACTCTCACTGCTACAGCCTGAGATGTTTTCAACTGGGAGCGCATGGAAGGCACAAGCGCAGCGCTCCCTATATATTTCCTCCATTAGAAATAACCAACTTGTGCGCGGAAAAGACGCAATATGTGAACGGCCCACTCCTGCTAGGCATCTAGTTAATCCAGTGTGCATGGGTAATAGCCTCAGTGTATAAACCCAGAACTAGCACACAGTTGACAACTTATTTATTTACTTAGTTTAGTTGCAGCAGTTTCGTTCTGTGCAATAGAAACGCTGCGTTGAGAAGCCTTTACGTTTATTAACCGTGACAAATTAAAAGAATTTAATAGTGAAATCATGGTTGCATCCCTAGTCATCATCATCTTAGATCCTTAAAGTTTTTAATATTTCGATAAAAAGTGCATATATTTATATGTATGTCTTATATTGTCTGTGCATTAAATTACAAAAAAACTAATTAATGCTCATGCGAGGTGTTTGTAATGCAGCATCTATGGACAAAACAGAAAATTTGACATTGTTCTTTCTTCCGGCTGCCGTTTTCAGTCTCACACGATTTTTTTCCTTTATCTGAAAGTCTTAACAACACCAACACTTTTTTCTTGTATTATTTCAGCAAGTAGGAATGTAAAAATATTAGTTGTTGTGTTCTCCCATTCACTGCACTCTAAGTTTGCCCAACTATGACAACTTCCGCTACTGAGAAACCCGGAAATGTGAATAAAGCTCCATTGTGATTGATATTGTCAGGTGGAAGGGTTTCATTAAGTTCTTGCTCACCTTTTTGGATCTCCAGCACCTACAGTACACCGCTTTGTCACCCAGGTCCTCGATGTCAAACGCATGCACCACTTTGGGGTTGTCTTTCTGCAGATCAAGGTTGACTTTTGGCTTTACACATTTGGAATTGTGGAAAAATGTTTTGTAGACGAGGAGTCCCACTGCTGCAGCTCCGAACGTCACAGAAACCGCAGCGATGATCTCAGCTGGAGAACAGAAGAGATTTTACCAAACACACATTCATCTACATCTGTAATAATAATAATGGTAAATATTAATGCAGGGTTTCTGCAGGATTCATCAAGTCAATATTAAGAGTTTTTAAGACATTTTTCAGACCATGAATACAATTTCAGACTTTTTTTTTTAAGTTTTGGCCTATGGATTTTTTTTTTTACTTGTCCCATTAAAATTTTAGTTATTTCTTAGCCAAATATTTAAAATAATGTGAAACAAGCAAATTCTAGTTATATACATACAGTTGAAGTCAGAATTATTAGTCCCTCTTTTTTTTCTTCTTTTTTTAAAAATTCTCAAATTATGTTTAACAAAGTAAGGAAATTTTCACAGTATGTCTGATAATATTTTTTCTTCTGGGGAAAGTCTTATTTGTTTTTTTCCGACTAGAATAAAAGCAGTTTTACATTTTTTAAATATCATTTTAAGGTAAAAATTATTAGCCCCTTTAAGCTATATTTTCTCGACAGCCTACAGAACCTGCCTAGTTAACCTAATTAGCCAAGTTAGGCCTTTAAATGTCACCTTAAGCTATATAGAAGTGTCTTAAAAATATCTAGTCAAATATTACTTACTGCCATCATGAATGAAATGAGTTATTAAAACTATTACGTTTAGAAATGTGTTAAAGAAATCTTCTCTTTGTTAAACAGAAATTGGGGGAAAAATAAAGGGGGGCTAATAAGACTTCAACTGTATCTACTTCACATATTGCTATAGATAGAGCATATTAAACTATGGATAAAATGACATTGTTTAAACTGAAACACAGGATTACATTTTAGGTACTAAATAAAAAGCTTATATTCATTTTATGAAATAGCACTTATGATATCGTATCACATATAATGATGTATTTGAAACTTTAAACACTGAAACTGCCTTACATTAATAATGATAACGAAATCCAAGTCAGTTACTGAAACTATATTTAATTTATGACAACTGATACGATCCGAGATGGTCTAATAAGCTCTCAACAATAAAAGCTCAACTGAGAAACTGTGAGACATCTAGGACTAATAATCCACACAATGCAGTCTGTTTACATGTATTGGCCAATTCTTCAAATATTCTGATTTACTTAATTTGTTTATTTGATGTTAAACTGCTGCTAGAGTCTGACTACAGAAATACAACACATCCAGCATGAGAATAACAGCACACACACCCCAACTATACACATCTAACGTTACTCAACGTAACGTTAATCAATACGAGCTTTACCTTTATGGAAGGAGTTTGACGCGCTCATGATGAACTATTATTTTTTATATAAATATGAATATTATTTGCTCATAATTTTGGGATCTTGAAGCGTCCTCAAGGCCAACTGGAGTATTCCCGCTGTTCAACTGTGCGCTGTATTTACGCAGGAAGCGAAATATCCAGCCAGAGAAAGGCTTTTATTTTGAATGTACAGCTGTCTTCCGTTTATACAAGTGATCGGTGAAGGTTGAACTAGGGGTTCCATCATAAATTGCACCCTTAAAGTAGAATAACTACCATAAAGGTGAATGAATAAATGAATGAACGAACAAATGAATGTAGCAATATATTAGTTTACAAAAAGCACGACTGTATTTCAAAAATTTTGTGAAGTCTACATGGCGACACTAGTATCTACTTTATTACACACATGTATACTAACGTACAAAATCTACTTTTACAATGGTTAATACGAAATTGTTTAATTCATATAAGCACCAATTTAAGAACCACATAAAAGTGCTTTTATTCTATAATAAAGTAACTAAGAATATTTAAAAAAACAGTATGTCTATAAAAGGAACGTGAATTGCTTAAAAACCTAAATCTGAAATATGATTTTCATAATGCCGTTTATTTGTATACAAACACAAGAGCAAGTAAATTAAAGTATTTTTTACTGTGTTCATTTTCAAAATATTTAATGTATACTTTTATTTTGAAGTAAGCTTACCGGAAGTCTTCCAGTGCCGAGATCACGTTGACAAACACACACGTGTGTCCACAGCAAGCATGGATCTCTCCAAGTGGTGCAATCTAAAGACCGAACCGAGCTTAAAGCACCTGACAGAGGCAGGATTCGGTGTCCCGAAAGAGAAACAGAGCGTGCCGGTGCAGGAGCTGGTGAAGGCGCACATTGAGTCCTTCGATCAGGCGGTTACTGATGGATTATGTCGAGTTGTGGAGGTGAGATGCAGACATCACGTTTATACTGTAAACATGCACATTGTCTACAAATAACGTTTCTTGAACACAACGAAAAGCCTATGGTTCTACATTATTCTTTATTTCGTGGTGTCACAAAATACATCGTTTACCTTAATCATTTTAATATAATTATATGAGCGGATTAAGAGGATGCAGACAGAAACATGAATGTGGAGTTAGATTTGTGCCAAAAGAAACGAACGAAATTTGGCATAAACGCACAAAACAATTAAACAAACAAGTTTTGCAAAAACGAACGATGAAAACAGAAGTGTCTTCTAATAAACGGTATGTTTTGTTTATTAATTATTTGTTTATTTTTGCAGAGTAACTGCATCAGATAAAGTTGCAATCTTTAAAAAGTTCAATGTTTTTATGTATATATATATATATATATATATATATATATATATAGGTTTTCACCAAAATAGCAAAATTGTTTGTGTTTTTGAGTAGGCTTGTATTTTACAATGCTTTAAAAAATACAAAAAAATGTCTCTGTTAGTGTTTTCAAACAATAATTGATTTACCAAAGTAGCATTGAGGTAAAGTTGATTTTATATTTGCACATTCGTTTAATGACAACTTGTGACATGCTCCCTTTAGTGTTTACCAATGTACTTTGAATATTTGGTCTGAAATCAGATGTAAATATGACTTCAAAACAACATTAGCACTGTTTATTTGACTGTGAACAATGTTGTACTTTGATAGTCATTGGCTGCCATGATGTTTTGACTATTTATAAATCGCAAAGATTGCTTTTCTGAAATTATATTATTATATTATGTTATTATTAAGGTCTGAATGTGTGAATATAAAACCAACTTTAGCTTACAAAGTCACACAAGTGGCAATTTCACATCCGTCACATCCATAACAGAGAGATGTCACATCCATAACGAAGATTTTTCCTCATAAATGCAAAAATGTAAAATCAAATTAATAATCTTTGTTCTTTAGTCATTTGACTCTTATCCTTTTGATTAGCATCGTTTCTTTTGGGTTGTGCAGTTTAATTCACTGAATTTCTACAAAGTATGTTGTATACCGTAAACTTGCAGACTTTTTTGTCACATCCATAACACATGTTTGTTTCCCTCATTTAAAACATAAAAAATGTTTACTGATTGATATTTTTGTACTCTCTTAACTCTGTGGCTAGTTGTTTTGAAAAATGTAAAGAGAGGTTTTGTTATAATGTTAACATATACTTCCTCTGTCAATTTATCTTTTGAGATTTTTCTGCCAATATCACATCTATAACGCTATATATATATATATATATATATATATATATATATATATATATATATATACACACACACACACACACACACACACACACACACACACACACACACACACACACACACTTTCACTTCACATCATATTACATGACTTCGCCCAGCCCTACTTTACAGACGCAAACAAGTGAAATATGTTTTGTGTTCAGGCTATTCCTCCTATGGAGTTCCTGTACAAGGGCGACAGGATCAGTCTGTCGTTTGTGGAGGCCATCATTCACACTCCATCAGTGTCTAAAGGAGGAATCAGCAGAGACCTGCGGGTCTTCCCTGCCGAGTGCAGAGGCAGGCGCTGCACATACAGAGCCAAGCTGGTGGTAAGTCATTTATTATGAAAGTAAATATGGTATTGTATAGCAAGCTTACTAGTATTCTGTTATGTGATGTTTTAGTGGGATAATAAGAATACAGTGGGCACAGAAAGTATTCAGAACCCCTTACATTTTTTACTTGTATATATTTATATATATATTGCAGCCATTTGCTAAAATCATTTAAGTTCGTTTTTGTTCCTCAATGTACAGACATAACCTCATATTGACAAAAATACAGAATTGTTGACATTTTTGCAGATTAAAAAAGAAAAACTGAAATATGACATGGTCCCAAGTATCCAGACCCTTTGCTCAGTATTTAGTAGAAGCCCTCTTTTGCTCTAATACAGCCATGGGTCTTTGGGGAAGATGCAACAAGTTTTTCACACCTGGATTTGGGGATCCTCTGCCATTCCTCCTTGTAGATCCTCGTTAATGTTGTTGGACAGCTATTTTTTGCTTCTCCAGGGATGCTCGATTGGGTTTAAGTCAGGGCCCTGGCTGGGCCATTTAAAAACAGTCACAGAGTTGTTGTGTGGCCACTTCTTAGTTATTTTAGCTTTGTGGTTAGGGTCATTGTCTTGTGGAAGGAAAACCTCCAGGTTATTCCTGCACTTGGCCGCATTTATTTTTTCCTCAAATGTAACCAGTCGCCCTGTCCCTAACGCTGAAAACACCTCCACAGCATGATGCTGCCACCACCATGCTTATTGTCTTTGCCAGGCTGTTGGGACTGTATTGGACAGGTTATCAGCAGCACCTAGGTTTCTCCCCACATAACACTTAAAATTTAGGCCAAAAAGTTCCGTTTTGGTCCCATCAGACAGGAGAATCTTATTTCTCACCATCTTGGAGTCCTTCAGGTGTTTTTTAGCACCTCTGCCATGAAGCCCCGACTGGTAGAGAGCTGTAGTGCAGTTGACTTTCTACAACTTTCTCTCATCTCCCGACTGCATCTCTAGAGCTCAGCCACAGTGATCTTTGGGTTCTTATTTACCTCTCTCACAAAGCCTCTTCTCCCCAATAGCTCAGTTTGGCTGGACGGCCAGCTCTAGGAAGGGTTCTGAACGTCCCAAACATCTTCCGTTAAGGAATTATAGAGGCACGCTTAGGAGCCGTATGTGATATTTCAGTTTTTCTTTTTTTAATAAATCTGCAAAAATGTCAACAATGCTGTGTTTTTTCTGTCAATATGAGGTGCTGTGTGTATGTCAATGAGAAAAAAACAATTAACAAATGATTTTGTAAGGGGGTCAGAATACTTTCCGTACCCACTGTATATACAAAATAGGTTTGCATGAAACACACATTCCCTAGCATTGAATGAATTCTAGGCAGCCAAGAACTTAAATTAATTCAGACAGTGCAGTAATCAATGTTGAGACTACTTCAAAAATCTAAATCAAGCATCATGGTTTTGTTTTCACAGGCAGATGTGAGTTGGTCGGTCAATGGCGTTCCTAAAGGAATCATCAAACAGTCTCTGGGTCAGATGCCGATCATGGTCAAATCAAAGCTCTGCAACCTTCACGGCCTCTCACCCAAAGAACTCCTCGAGCACCATGAAGAAGCAGAGGTATAAGGCTGCATTTACACTGCAGGACTTGATGGTCGATTGCGATTTTGTGACTGTATTCGATTTATTATTTTTAATTAATTACTTTAAAAAGTGACTCGTATATGCTGTCTGCATTTATACTGCCCACGTCAAAGACACTATGACCTGAAAAAAAAAGAGCAGGCGCTGACTCAGTTGATAATAAAAGAATGCTTTTTTTCTCCATTCCTGTATTTAATTTTTAATTTTATTTATTCTTTTTAACAAGTTGTTTTTCAATAGTTTATGACAGAAATGTTTTCGTTTAGCTATAATCTTTTAATCTAGGCTTTTTTAAACCAGTAGGCAACTTAATGTAATGTCTATGGTGTGATTTATGTACGTGATGTATGCACTAGTTTTATTTTAGTTAATAATGTTAATGTTAATTTTTGTTAAATTTGGCTGAAAATCAATTAAAATCCCGGATTTCACCTATTTTAAAAATGTTTGTAAGCAGACACTTGAATTTTGTTCAGTTTGAACTTTTCTGATGTCATGTATAGAGAGTTTACTGCCATAGCAGATTCTCTGGCTATGTCATGGCAAAAAACAAAACAAAAAAAAAAACATATAATCTGTACACACATTTTATAAACATCCCTTTTCTATAATAACAAGTTTATAACAATGAAAAGACATCAACAGGAATAAATGATACATACAATAGAATACAAATTCCATCGTTTTTGATTATTTACATTTAAAAGTGTTCCCTTACGGTCTCTCCCGTTAAAATCATCGTCTAATAACATTTATCATAGGGCATTCCTAAAGAATATGTTTGACAGTTTAATGCCATTGCAGTGTTGACATCTTGGAGGAACTCCCCTTTGACTAATTGTCTGTTACCGATAGGAAATGGGTGGCTATTTTATTGTGAACGGCATAGAGAAGGTGATTCGTCTTCTGATCATGCCGAGAAGAAATTATCCCATCGCTGTATCCAGACCGAAGTTTAAAAGCAGAGGACAGGGTTACACTCAGTACGGTAAGTGCTGCGTCCACTTCAGATTGCACAATTAAATATGATTTGTTAAATACAGAGATTGACTTTTGATATTATATTCTGCACAGCTATTTCAATGCGATGTGTGAAGGAAGAACACACAGCTATTAATATGAATCTTCACTATCTGGACAATGGAACGGTGATGGTGAACTTCATCTACCGGAAAGAGCTGTTCTTTCTTCCTTTGGGCTTTGCACTAAAGGTAAGCTTCTTAAAGTGATAGTTCTCTCAAAAAATGTGCATCATTTACTCATCCTTTACTTTTTTTTTAATTCAGTTTTTCTTCTATTATTAGTGCTGTCAAGCAATTAAAAAAACAAATTAATCACACTTTTTTGCAATTAATCGTAATTAATCACATTTAAAAGACTGAAACTTGTAGTTTTGGCTTTTCAAATGTAAAATTAATGTAAACGCTAGACAAATACTATTTAAATTCAAAATATAATTGTTTATTAGAATTCTTGTTTAACTTGTAACACAGATTTCATCATGAAAACAACATATCCACAATAAACCATCAAGATCCTGCTTGACAGCCATATTTATTACAGAAATTAAAACACAGGCATGTTAATGCCATTTGAATTTCAAAACAATCAATGCCAATAAAGAAAAAAATGATTTCCATGTTGGATTCTATGTGGATCGCAAAAAAGAATGCCAAAATACAGGCATTGCAGATATGGAAAATGGAAAGTTATAATAATAAAGTATAGAATACAAACAATTGCACTCATTGAAAAAGTTGTGTTGCTGTGAGTTGAGAACAATAATTATAAAGCAGAAACTATTATGCTTAGTCCTCCTTTACATTCAGACAGTTGCTTAGACAGTCCAGTCTGTTGACATTATCAGGGGATAATGTGGACCTTTTCTTTTGAATGATGTGAGCTGAGAGTGAGAACAGTTTCTCACAAGCAGAATCACAGAATCAGCATATGCATTTCGGTGCCTAATTTTGCTTGATGCTTCTTACGTCATTGTCGTAGCATCAAGCGGTACATCAAAGGCACCCACAGGTTCGCGTTGTGTCACACCAAAGACTAACTCTTACAGGGACTTTGGTCACGCCATCTCTAAACATTTAAACAACTTTGGCGTTTGTTCTTGTTGCTAGGAAACGCGCGCACACACACACACAACGCGCACAGCCAGTGAGCGAGGGATCCCTTCAGATTCATCAACACGCATGATCGTGTTCATTAAATTTGCTTAAACTAAGCGTTCTTAAGTATGGCAGTTTCACAAGTATTCTGAACCAGTACCGTGAAGCAGACGCTTTACTAAAGTTGCTTTTAAGGGGGAAACACGTCAAACTTGAAAATGACACATTTAAGGGCTCATGGAATAATTTTAAAGGCAGACAAATGCGCAAACTTTGACATCTTGCGACATCATCTGGCACTTTCTGAGTACATTTACATGGACACCAATACTCCACTTTTGATATGATTAAGATAATACTCTCATTAAGAGTCTACCATTCAAACAGCGATTTCTTGGTTCTATCCATATTTCTTTGCATGTTAAACACACGTCGACCACAACAGGAAGTAAAAAAACTGCAACTGCGTTAATTGCGGTAATTATTTTTCCACGTTAAATATTTCAAATGAATCGCATGCGTTAACGCACTAATTTTGACAGCACTAATATTATAATGTCAAATAAATATTAAAAATTTAATATAAAAATTTTATTGGCTTATACCAGCCAATATAGCAACACAAAAACACACTCAAATAAAATAATTTAAATTAAATGTCAAATACCCAGAAATGCAGATTGATTCATTCCTTTATTACAGTATTACACCAATTATAATTAGTTATTTCAAATTGTTTTTTTTTTTATAATTTGTTTAAACTAACTTATTGCAATAAAATATATAGCTGTAATTTCTTATGATTTCATTTTTAGTAATTAGTACTTCAGTAATAGGTTAGTTGTCAAATTTCTTTGCAAGTTTTTCATATAATCTTTGTTTTATCTTTTTATGCTTTATTTAATATACTGACTTACTCAGATTACAATTACACAGCATCTGTCCAAGTTATTAAAGGACCATGACACCCCCCACTTTAAGTTAAAGTCTACTTAAGAATTTTTTCAAAAGATGCATGATTAATGGGCGTGGAGCTCCGCGAGCATAGGGCAGGAGTGGGCGTGGCCAGCAGGGGAGAAGGGGAGCGAACAACTGTTGATGTCAGTTAGCTCACAAATTGAGACAAACCGTGAGGAGATGCATAAGTTTATAGTTTACAAAGTTAAAATGCAAAGAAATAAACAGTAATTTAATGCCCTGCTACATTTGTTATTTGTAATTTCATATACAGACAACCACAATTTATATCATTATAAAGATAATCGTGTTTATATAATAAACACTATAAATGAGGACTTCTCCCTCAATCCCCGGGTCTGAATCATAGATCTAAATGCAGACTCATTGGAGCAGGTCTCCTGACCTGTCTATTTTAACCATTAGTCCTGCTGGTAATCTGGAGGATTTAGGCAAACACAGCAGCACGGCGATGTGTCTGAATGTGAATGAACTGCTGATAAAAGACAGCGTCCGCCATTCTCCAATTCTCCTGCTGCTCTCCCGACAAAAATGCTAGCAGCACACACACAGCTTTGATGTATGATCGGCCCTGACAGGATCGCGGGGAACACATGCAACAAACACCGTGGATCATGGAAACAAACACATACGAGCCTTCATAAACGGCTACTGCGTGCCCGTGGGTCGGTCTGGCAGGTCTGCGTCTGCCTTGCCTTCGGAAAGCGCGTGCTGTCATGCTCTCATGAATAATTAAGCAGCCGGCTCTTCTCATAGGATAAGGAAACTCCGCTTTGAATAATAATGAGAAACCAACGCGTCATCATTGCACTTATTATTATTCGCTACGTCGGCGATTTTGATCCCTCCCCAAAAATCATTTTAAACCCGGAAGCTGAAATTAGCTGACAATTGCTCAAAATTATCCAGTTTTCTTCACAATTAAAGTTGACAGGTGCTAACGTTGTCTTAACTGATGCTCAACACACACAAATCTGTTAATATATAAAAAAAAGTTCTTCAGGGTGTCCTGAACCTTTAAAAACATCTAAATGAAAAAAATAATTTGAGTTTCAATAATGTTATCATGTCAGACAGTTGTGTTTCCAGATTGTTATGCTGCATTATTATTTTTGATCGTTTTCTCATTTAAAATGTCTTTACTTTTCCCGTTAGGCTCTAGTGGATTATTCCGATTACCAGATCTACCAAGAGCTGATTAAAGGTCGAGAGGACAACTCATTCTATAAAAGCTGTGTCTCTGAAATGCTGCGTATAGTCATGGACCAGGGCTGCACCACTAAAATCAAGGTGCTGAATTACCTGGGCGAGCGTTTCCGGGTCAAACTCAACCTCCCAGAATGGTTCACTCACGAGCAGTGCGCTCACTTCTTGCTAGAGTAAGTCCAAGCTGTCAAGAAATAAAAATATATTTTACATGCATATTTATTTAGAAGTAAATCTGTAGGTAAAATATGTTTCTCAATGTTAACAAATACTGAAAATAAGTCTTACCTCACTGTCAAGTCTCCACCTGGTGTTACTTTATAGTTTCAGCAATTTGATCACAGCCTCTGGAAGAGTCAAAAATGGAAAGTCAAAACGTTTTATGTGTTATTCACACCTGTATTTCAATCACCCATTTGTGCTCGTACTTTTTAAAATGCATGAAAATTGTGTTGTTAAGAGGGGAGAAAACAAATGTTGCATTTTGTATAATTAATTCAAAAGATATAAAAATGACAATACCAATGTAAAAATAGGCTACCAGTGGCCCCAAATGAAACTATAAATATTACAAATATAGTTTCTCTCAACAACAAATCCATTTTCAAGAGTTGACACTTAGCTGATGATTGGTTATTATGTATATTTGGCATGCTGTCCTGTGAGAGAGCCCTGAGCTTATGAGATCCTCGAGCCCTGGGCTCCCTCCTATTAGCAGGGTGAGAGGGGAGTTTGAGCTCAGGTAGATCTCGATGGACTTACCCGACTTATCCTGGCAAATGATAGATATAGGGATGGCTAAGGAGATATATGCGGCTTGACTATGATGCTAATTTGGTGTGTTCAATTCATTTGTGTTGCGTGTTTTTTGGACTGTTGGAGAAAAACAGGTTAACCCACATGAACACGGGGAGATCAAGCAAAACTCTGCACAGAAATGTCGACTGGTTTAGTAGGGACTTGAAACAGAGACAAACTTGCTGTAAGGCAACAGTGATAATAACTGGGCCACCGTGTCACCCATATAAAAAAAAGGGGGAATAGGTAATGGGGAATAGGGGTGGCTGGGATGGGGGATTCTTCAAGATGAAGATAGTGAGATGAGAAATTCTGATTATTTATAGTAAGCTAGGAGTCTTCCCTAGCTTTTTTGATTTGTGAATCAATCGTAAGCTAACCAGCCGTGAACAATAAGCACGTGATCCCCTTGAAATTAGTTTATAAATCAACTTTAAACATAATTTATTGAGCAAATTGAGGAAAAATGCATGAAAGTTTGAACCGATACATCACTATAAACAATTTAGTGCTGCCATGTGGACAATGAGTTTTCAAAATAATTGGAAGATCTCTGTAATTCAACAGATGCAAATTTCTGCCATGTTTTGCTTGCTTAACGCAATTTTAATGTATTAGTAATTTAGTCACAATTCAGACAGAAATATTACAACATGACTTACAGCAGAGGTGTCAAACTCAGTTCCTCGAGGGTTGCATCTTTGCACACTTTAGCTTTTACCCCAATTAAACACACCCGATCAGAGTAATTGAGTCCTTCAGGCTTGTTTTAAACCTACAGGTAAGTGTGTTGAAGCAGGGTTGGAACTAAACTGTGCAGGACTGTGGCCCACAAGGAGCTCAATTTGACACCCCTGACTTACAGCGTTCCCACACTTCTTGAAAGTACTTGAATTTCAGACATATGGATTCAAGGCCTGGAAAGTACTTCAAACCAAACACATGTCCTTGAAAATGCTTGAATTAAGTTTGAAATATAATTAATTCATGGTGTTTTTTTCTGTAATTGTATTGTGCTTGTCAAAAACTGAACAGAAATGATAAATTCCTCATTTAAAAATGTAAATCTTCTTCAAGAACTATGACAAATAATGTAAATTTCATCAATATTTCAGAGACCACGTTTAAATATAAGTAATGAATTCAACAAACTTTACTGAAGCTCTTTGAAAATGTTTGAAATGGTCAACATTTTTTAAAATGAAACATTCAAAACATCCTAATTACTCTGACATTTTAATGTCAATATTAAGCTTAAGTGAAATGTTAAGTACAGTAAGGACTTTTATACATATGCTAGGGCACAGGTGTCAAACTACTGTAGGGCCGCAGCTCTGCACAGTTGAGTTCCAACCCTAATTAAACACCTGATCAAACTAAATGAGTCCTTTAGGCTTGTTTGAAATCTACAGATAATGCTGCTGTCACACTAGAGTTTGAGCATGCAAAGTTCTATCATGCGGCGAAAAGCTTAAGTGACCACAGCTTAAGTGTGTTGAAGCAGGGTTGGAACTCTAGAAACTGGCTTTGACACCTGTGTGCTATGGGAGTTTCATTTGAAAATATTGGTATTTTAAAAAGTCCTTGAATCTGCTGTTCATAAGAGTAGGAACCCTGGACTTACATTCTAGCAAATAGGATAAAGTGTTTGTTAAAATAGTTCATTAACATTTGATGTCTATTTACTCACCCTCATCTCATTCGAAAATGTACCTAAACAATTTTTTAAGTAAAACATTAAATAATCTTTTTAGCTTAAATTGTGGTCCTTGATTCATGAAATGCAAATCAATGGCACAGAGCTTCAGCAAATCAATAATCTTTGGTCATTTATATGGTGTTCTCCTTTTTTTTTTTTTTTTTTTTTTTTTTGCAGTGAATGTCTGTGTATTCACCTGAAGACAGATGTGGAGAAGTTCTACATGTTGTGTTTGATGACACGGAAGCTTTTTAGCTTTGCCAAGCAGGAGTGTATGGAGGAGAATCCTGACAGTCCGATGTTTCATGAAGTTCTCACCCCAGGCCAGCTTTACCTCATGTTCCTGAAGGTAAATCACCTTTGTCAAAGCTGACATTCATATGCTCAACAGTGTGATTGGTTATAATGATCAGCACTGCGACAAATAAAAGTGCAGGAAGCACACTGATTAAAAAATGGCACTTCAAAAACTTTGCTCAAAGTATTCCCAAATGTTTTTCAGGAGAAAATGGAAGGCTGGTTGGTGTCCGTGAAACTGGCATTGGAAAAAAAACCTCAAAGAGTCGGAGGACTGACTCCAGACTCTATGACCAAACTCTTTAACATGGGTACAGATCTCACCAAAGCCTTTGAGTATCTGTTAGCCACAGGAAACCTCATGTCCAAGACTGGTATGAAACTTACTGCATTATACAACATTATTACAAAATAAACAGGGGTGGAAAATCTTTAGGGACTTCATGGTCTGACCTGCTTCTGATTTTGGGAGTCACGATTTCAATCCATGAATCTTGACTTTTATTTTTCCCCTTTTCTTAGGTGAGCAAATATGTCTTTCCAACTATGCTTATGTTTATGATTGGAATCTATGTATGACAGTACAGCCATCTAAAAAACTATTCATTTTATTATTAACAAAGTAATATTCAACACGAACAAGCTCTGAATGCAACATTGAAACAATAGATTATTAAGAGCAATTATGAAGAACAAACAGTTCATATTCTAAAATAAAGAGTATTACAATATTTTTGGTTTGTTTGTAACCTTTAAACAAAGAAAAATGTAGTCACAGTAAATATATTTATATAAATATGATATTTAAAAATTACAATTGCTTATCGATCAGAGCCACTAGCTTTAAAATCCATTCCAAAACGATTCTTGACCTTTTTTTTTCTATTGGCTTTGCAAATATGCCTTACCAACTGTATATTTTACCCAGAATTGGAGATTCTATGCTTGTTTTTGATAGAAATCTATGTATGACAGTTTGTCTATCTTAAGAATGATAATTATCTTTTTATTCTTATTATTATATATTATTATTAACAAAGTAATATTCAACTTGAATAAGCTCTGAATGCAACATTTAAATGATAAATTACAATTATGAAGAATAAACACTTCACAGTTTGAGTTTGTTTGTAACCTTTTAACTTTTTTAAATTTATTCATTTACCATAATGGTTTAATTATTTTCCTTAAAATAACATGTTTTTAAAGTGCTCCATGTATTTACTGCTGAGGACACCGACCTGGACAGATTGTTGTGCATAAATTTAGCTTTATTACAGTTTTTAAACATTTTTAAATAATTGTTTTTTTTTTTTTAAAGAAAGTTTATGTTGGGGGGGAAGTGTATGAATACAAGTAGAGCTTGCTTGTTTTTACACAATATTTAAATATTTTGCTAAGAAATTTCTAAAATATTTACATTTTTTATTAATAAATTATTATAGTATTATTAAATTCTTAAAGTTTTTTGATATGGCAAATAAAAGTCTTTTCCATCTTGGCATTTTGAAAAATTCCTTAGCGTTTAGCCCTTTATGAATCTAAAATTAGACTTAAAATAGTCTTAAAAAGGCCTTAAAAAGTCTTAAATTTAACTTGGTGAAACATGCAGAGTTCAGAGCCATAGAGAACTAGCTTAAAAAACAAATACAGTAGTCAATGTTCAAAGTGGATCAAAAAGTTTTTCAAAACTAACCTAAAATAAGAATGGCTTTAACTTTGATGAAAGGTGCTGAACCACTTCAAATGTTGACTACTGTAGTAGCCTAGTACACAATGCTTCATTCATTTGCAACACTTTTACTTTACTATCTAATTTCAATACAGAATTAGAGAAATAATAAATTAATCAAGATGCGTTCATTATTATGAGCCTGGTGAGGTTTTGTAGAGCTGCGCATCAACGGATTTGCTCTTAGTATTTGGACTTTCAGCAGTGAAAATTAAACCACACTGAACTGAACTAAACTTAAACTCTGAAAACTGGACTGACACTGTTTTAATCTACTAGAACTACTACGTTAAGCTGCTTTGACACAATCTACATTGTAAAAGCGCTTAGAAATAAAGATGAATTGATTTAAAATAATAATTTTCTCTCCCACATCTCACAGAGTCTAAACGCATTAACAAGCTTTGAATGTACTTTTGAATGTACAATTAATAACATCTTGCCTATTTAACCCTAGGTTTGGGCATGTTGCAGAACAGTGGTCTGTGTGTCGTGGCAGACAAGCTGAACTTCATCCGCTATCTGTCTCACTTCCGCTGCGTGCACAGAGGAGCCGCCTTCGCCAAAATGAGGACCACAACTGTGCGAAAGCTGCTGCCGGAGTCCTGGGGTTTCCTCTGTCCGGTTCACACTCCTGATGGAGAACCGTGCGGACTTATGAACCACATGACAGCTCACTGTGAGATTGTGGCCCCAGTGTATCCCACAAGCACCCTGCCAGGCCTTCTCTGCTCACTAGGTAAATAAAATAATTTGCGATATCCTTCATCATTAAACGGGATTACAAGTTAAATCTAGAAGTTATAAAGTGTTTGAAATGAGGGCTGCATGAATAGTATGATTATCGAATTTTAATTTTGTTAAATGTTGATTAACTCACCCTTAAGCCATCTTATAGTTGTCTGTTTATATTCGGTATAATTAAACAATAATATTTTAGCTAAAATTATAGTCTTTGGTGAACAATAAATTGAAATTGCAATCACGAATTAATTAAAAGATAAGTTCCAACCAAAAAAATAAAAATCAATGTCGTTCCAAAATGTGTCTTTCGTTCATCTTCGAACAAAAATTAATATATTCTAGATTAAATTTAAGAGCTCCCTCATCTTCCATAGACAGCAAAGGTTTTCCAGAAAAGGAACCAAAAATATTGCCAAAAAATCTATGTGACGTGGTGCCAGTCAATAGCCCAGTGGTTAGTGTGTCAACATATAGCATCCAGGTGCTCGCAGCAACCTGAGTTTGATTCCCGGCTTGAGGTCCTTTACCGGTCCTTCCCCTAACTCTGCTCCCCACACTTTCCTCTCTGTAAATTTCCACTGTCCTATCAATAAAGGTGAAAACTTATATTAAATTAAATTATAAAAAAATAAAAAAAATCTATGTGACTTTTGTGTTTCATCTGTATTCATAAGAAGCTCCAAGAACAATGTTCTACACCATAATAAAACCAAAGTCCCTTTAGGGAAAGTCATTTCACTAGGCAGCCATCTTTGAAAGTTCTTTCGGGCAGTATGCTCGGGCTTTCTGTCTGAATGGGGCAACATCAAATTCTTCAAAACTGTTTGCCAAGCTTACGATTGATATTTGGAATCAACAATAAAATTAAACAACAACAGTCTCGTGTTTAATTTCAAAACATCTGAAACAAAATCAACATATTTGCAGGTTGCCCAAGCTTATATGCACTCAAAAGGAAGGAGATCATGACACCAATCTCATTTATGGCTGTTTTACATCCTCTAAATAATGATTGTCAAATTGCACTGGTCTTCTGAAGTAATCCATAACTTAATCTTGCCAGTGAATCTCCTCCAGAAATGACAGCGACTCTTTGTTTACAAGTTTGTGGTGGGTTTGAGTAGTTGCTCTCATGTGATCTGACAGGACTGGCTGTACCTTGCGTTCGTCTCATGCTGATTACAAAACCAAAAACTTTTGTTTTCAAGTGCACTTGGTTCGTTCAAAGTAGTAGTACAGATTTCAAGCTTTATGTGGATATATTTCTTATGTCTGTGAAGCAAGTACTCGCTGAGATCCCAGTGCGTTTGTTCAACACAAAGCTGTCGTAAAAGCATACGTCTGGTCTGAGCTTCTCCCCGGAGGGTCATCAGTCTATAGCAATCAATGATCAATGGCTCCTATACTAGTAAGCGAGGCTTCATTCCTCATATTGACTGTTACAGTTTTCCCCATTCAAAACTATCTCCAAAAACTCCAAAACTTTATTTTTGATTATTAATGCCATTGTCTCCATAATAAATATACTTTTAACAATGTTAAACTTATCATTAAAAAATTATATAAAAAATATATTTTGTTGAAAAAAAAAGTATATACAACTCGAATTTTACTTATTTTGACACTTTAAAATGTCACAAAAAATTATTACGTTTGATTTTTAAATTTTTTTATTATTTTTTTTGTAGCAACCGACTGGGCCGTTTAATTCATAATGGTCTTAAAAGGGTCTTAAAAAGTCTTAAATTTTAACTTGATTAAATCTGCAGAAACCCTGATGATTTTTCAACTGTAATATTTTTCCCCATTGCCAGGTGTGAATGCAGCCGATGGTAACCCAGGCCAGGCATATTCAGACTGTTATCCTGTCATACTGGATGGGGCCATGATTGGGTGGGTGGAAAAAGAAGTGGCGCCATCAGTCATTGAATCTCTCCGTAGATTCAAGGTGAGAACTAATAATTATAGTTTTGCACTTGATCAAGCTATTTGTGCTATTTACCCTCAAAGTTTAAAGAGATAGTAAGTACATTTACAATTTTGGGTCAACTATTCACTCACCCTCATGTGGTTCCAAGTCTTCTTCTGTTGAACACAAAACAAGATACTTTGAAGGAAGCTAAAAACGTGTTACCATTGACTTCCTTAGTAGGAAAAACAAGTGCTATGGAAGTTACAGTTCTCCAACATTGTTCAAAATATCTTATTTTGTGTTCAACAAAAGAAAGAAACTCATAAAGGTTTGTAACAAGTAAAAGTAAATTATGACATTTGTAATTTTGGAGGGAACTATCCCTTTAATGATTTAATAAGTTTCAATGCATGTCCTCTGCAGGTGCTTGGAGAGAAAAAAGTGCCACCCTGGACTGAGATCGTTCTGGTTCCTCAGACGGGTAAAGCCAGCTTGTACCCAGGCCTCTATCTGTTTACCACACCCTGTCGCATGGTTCGAACAGTCCGAAACCTCAGTCTGGGTAAACAGGAGTTGATTGGCATATTTGAACAGGTGAGAACAGGATAGTTTTTGTAGAAACCCTGGTACTCGGCAAAAGAAATGACCCCAAATACATTACAAATCACTTCCGGTGAAATATGCCATAGTTTACTATATAGAGCATGTCAGGTTGCAGAGGAAAATAATCTCAATCATCTTGTTCATATGGGAATGTTCAATACCAATACTAGCTGTGAGGTTAGTTTATATGTGCATTAAAGCTGCCACTTTGCATTATTTTTTCTCTTTAAAATAAAATTATGCCATTTAATTGCTGAATTAAAAACGGTTACAAGTAATTTTTCAGTCATAAATTAAAAAACTTAAATTCTATAGTGCTTTTCAATGTATCCATTTACATAAATTTTATTGCGATTCGATATGATTATCGACCCATCCCTAGGACTCATTGTTCTCGATTTACACAAATGATTCATTCAAGATGAACGAATCGTTTAAGATTGATCGATCAATAATATCAACAGAAATAAACTGGAGGAGAATGCTTTTAAATGTCAGTCTCCTACTCTTTTAAATTAATTAAACATATGAACGATCATCAGTTTAAATTGTAATGTCCATACACAACTCTAAATTTACTTCTTTTGTTTTGTTCATGAGAGTGCATGTGTGAGCCATGTGTATTGTACATTTGACAGTTACAAAAATGCATATGTTTGTGCCCAGGTGTACCTGAATGTGGGCATCTTTGAGAAGGAGATAGAGGACGGTGTGACCACCCATCAAGAGCTCTTCCCTCACAGTATGTTGAGTGTCGTTGCAGAATTCATCCCTTTCTCAGATCACAACCAGAGTCCCAGAAACATGTACCAGTGCCAGATGAGTAAGAACTGCTCCCTTCCTTTCCTCCTTTTATAATAACATGACTGAAAAAGTAAAAAAAAAAAAAAAAAAAAAAAAAATATATATATATATATATATATATAAGCATGCTTTAAACTACATCCAGGGTTAAAAGAGTATTAAAAGATAAGCCAATTTAGAGACACTTAAAGCCCTTAAAATGTCTTTATTGCTATTTTACAAGGTATTTTTTTGTATTTGTATGCTAAAGTTTGCCTGAATTGTATCTGTGAATATCAGGATGCTGTGTAGTTTATGAAATCAATAAAATCGTGCTAGATTTGACATCATGGTTCTTTGTTTACAGCATTATCTAGTGCAGGGGTCCGTTCTTCGTACCTCGCTTAAATTATCTTAGATGATTTGGCAGATCCTGGATCTTTTAATCTTGATAACTGATCTCTCGCTAATTTGGTTCTTCAAACAAGTTCGCGAATCAGATTAGAAGGTCTGGATGAACTGATCTGAGATCGCTGCGTGTGTTGTTAAGGACAGATCTATCGATCCTCGAAATCATGATCAGCAATGCAACGATTGGCTGACGGCACAGCAGCGTAATGACATCATCTAATTAATATTCAATTATCCATGTGAGCAAAATTACATCAAATTAGCAGTAAACGGCTTGTTAAATATGACACGCAGTAACTTCACATTTGTTGTGAGCTGCAGGCTTTACACTTTCATTTGTCAAGACAAGAGTATTCATCATGTATTTCAATGCAAATCAATGTATTTAGTTCTACATTTAGAAAAGATTTTCTTTATTATAGTACAGTTTTTTAATCGGTGTAAAGAATAACTGGTTGTTTCCAAAAGCATTTTGATATTGGTAAAGGCGTCTGCAACTTTTGTGAAGCATCAAATCACTGGCATATTAACTGTCAAAACATGTTTATGACTGCATAAATGTATTATTGCTTTTAAAAAAAGTCACATATTGTGCATTTCTATTATACACAATTTGTACTAAAGTGATCTAAAAAGTTCATATCAATAAGTTTTCTCTTTGCACCAGATGGCAGTCTTTGTACTTTCATTTCGAGGGTGCAGATTGCATAAGTTTTATTAATATGTAAAACTTTATTTATTTTATTAATGACTATAACTTTAAATATATAGTTAAAATTATTTTCTATAAATATATAGTTAAAGTTATTTTCCCAAGTGTATATAACTTTTACTGTAAGAAAATATCAGAATTCGGAACATACTTTCTGTATTATCTTTGCTTGAACTGAGCCGATCTAATCCTGTTTATATGATTTGAACCTGCTCCCGATCAGGTTTGACCTAGCAGATCTGTTGCTATGACAACAACTCTCGGATCAGCTTTGAAGAACGAAACGATCCTGGATCGTGTCAAATCGTCAATATCCAAATCCAGCTAACTGAGTAATCCACGTACGAAGAACGGACCCCAGGAGTGTCCATTCTCTGTGTCTATCATAGTTTAGCTCCAACTTCCTTCAACACACCTCCCTGGAAGTTTCTAGTACAGCTGGAAAGAGCTTGATTAGCTGGTTCAGGTGTGTTGAATTGGGTTTGGAACTAAAATCTGCCGGACACGCACCTCCAGGCTTAGTGCTTTTATCAAATATATGTATAACGTTTTGGTTTAGGATTAGTTTCTAACAATAAGCATTTAGTAAATTTACTATAAGTTAAATGTTGCTAATGTTACCAGTTGAAACCTAAAGTGGCGATGAGGTCTTGATGTATTGAAAGAAAGTTATTGAATTTGACATATGATTTCTGAATATGCGCTGACATCTTGTAGGTAAACAGACGATGGGATTCCCACTGCACTCGTACCAGTACCGATCTGACAATAAACTGTACCGTCTACAGACACCTCAAAGTCCTCTGGTCAGACCTGCAATGTATGACCATTATGATGTCGACAATTACCCTATTGGTACCAACGCAATAGTGGCAGTCATTTCTTACACTGGCTATGATATGGAAGATGCTATGGTAAGGAAACTTTTCAGTTTTGCAAATTTCTATTATATATTCGTCTATTTATGCGGGAATGTATTCCCTCGTGCCGTGTCTGATCTGAACACGCAGCATTAAGCATTTTTTTTCGATAGTCTACAGAACGAACCAACCATCGTTATACAATGATTTGCCCAATTACCATAACTTGTCTAATTAACCTAGTTAAGCCTTTAAATGTCACTTTAAGCTATACAGAAGTGTCTTGAAAAATATCTATTAAAATATTATGTGCTGTCATCATGGCTAAGATAAAATAAATCAGTCATTAGAAATAACTTATTAAAACTATTGTGTTTAGGATTGTGTTGAACAGAAATTGGGGGAAAAACATACAAGGGCCTAATAATTCAGGAGGGCTAATAATTCTTGACTTCAACTGTAAATATTTTTGTGATTTTAACCATCTCTAGATCGTCAACAAGTCTTCATGGGAGCGTGGCTTTGCTCATGGTTCTGTTTACAAGACTGAAATCATAGACCTTTCGGAGAAGGTCAAGGGCGACGACAGCATTGTGTTTGGGGTGAAGCCGGGCGACCCTAAAGTTATGGGCAAGCTTGATGCAGATGGACTGCCGTTTATCGGCTCCGTGTTAAAGTACGGAGACCCTTTCTATGGCTACATCAGTCTCAACACCGGCCAGAGCCATGTGTATTTCTACAAGTAAGGCATCACTTTTGTTATTGTTAATTTTGTTTAGTAATCAATATGGTCTCTAAATATAGTCATGTTCACTTTTTATCTTTCTATTTTAGTATTATTTTTATATTCTGTTTTCAATTATTTTCAATGCGCTTTTGTCATTTTCTCCATTTAATTTAAATATTCATGAGCACTTAAACTGTACTTTTTAGGGATGCACTGATACCATGTTGTTTTTAGATCCGATAAAAATGCAAAAAATACTAAATATCGGATGATACAGATACCAATCTGAATATCTGAGTTAAAGAAACTCAAATAATATCTCTTCTGTAGTAAACAATCACCTAAATACAGACTACTTCATTAAAGAAAAACAATTTAGGCATAGATATATTGTATTTAGACAGAAACAGCGCAAAGTTCTCCAGTATCTACTGCCACTTCGAAAACTTAGCAATGAATAGGGAAGATGTCAATGCATTGTGCATCCGTGCAACATATTATTGAGCCTTTACTTTTAAATTTTAGGTACTTTGTGAATAAACAAAGGTAATAACGCGTGTCCAGTGTTGTGATCTAACAGACACAGAGCAAAATGTAACATGATTTAGCAACAACAATGAACTCTTGCAAGTCAAAATAAAGTCTTTTAATGCAAAAGTAAACATGTTTAAAAAAAAATTATCAGATATCCGATCTATGTATCGAATCAGTGCATCCCTATTTATTCATTCATTTTCTTTTCGGCTGAGTCCCTTTATTAATCAGGGGTCGCCACAGCAGGAATAAACCACTAACTTATCCAGCATATGTTTAACGCAGCGGATGCCTTTCAAGGCTGCAACCCATCACTTGGAAACATCCATAAACACTCATTCACACACTTACACTATGGACAATTTAGCTTACCCAATTCACCTGTACCACACGTCTTTGGACAGTTACATATGCGTAGCCTATAATAAATTATTCATGTACTCTTAAATGTTACTTTTTTAGGGTTGTACCGATACCATTTTTTAAAATCCAATCTGATGCAAAAATTCTGAATGTCAGCCAATACAGATCTGATAAGCTAAGAGTTATAGAAACTTAAATAATATCTCTTCTGTAGTAAACAAGTAGTAGTATTGGACTATAATAAATCCATAATTTAAAGTACTTTATTTTATTATTGTTTTTAATTTGTTTTATTAAGCATATGTATCAGTTATCAACTTCCATATGTAACCAGTTATTTGGAATAAGCCAAAATTTCCATCAGTGCATCTCTACAATATATTTATTTAGCAATAATTGAATATTTGGTTTCCGCTTCAGCAGTTGCTTCAACTAAAAGCATCAACCATTATTAATGCACAAAATATTACATAAATGTGATTGCAGTCTTGATATGTTACCGTTTATTGCCCAGTTGTAATAAAATGTTTAGACATTATGAGCTTTTTAACCACAGATGTAATTTCAGGCATTTAAAGGAACACTCCATTTTAAAAGGGAGCTAATTTTCAACTCTCCTAAAGTTAAACCTGTTGAGTTTAAGCATTTTTGTATCCGTTCAGCTGATCTCTGGATCTGGCGAGAGTACTTTTAGCTTAGCTTAGCATAATTATTGAATTGGATTAGCATTAGCATCTCGCTGAAAGACCTAAATAGTTTTGATCATTTTCCTCTAAAAGCTTTTCTATTGTAGTTACATTTGTGTACTATTTTTATTTTATTTATTTATTTATTTATTTTGAGCGTACCATCTTTTGTCTTCATTAATTTCTAAAAAGGGTTGTCACGATATTGGAATTTTAAAAACGTCCATTTCCTGCTAACATTTGAGTGCGGTTGAGCGCATTCTTAAACGGCGCTGATTTGCCGTTGTGTTCACGTGCTCAAAAGAAATGAATGTGATTGGCTGTGAATGTCATCGGTTCACCAAACTCCCCGCTGTTTACTGAGTGTTAACACAGCTACAGGGACATTGGAGCATTTCAAATCAAGTTGATTAGCTGATTTGTCTTTTGACCTTATTCTAAAATGCGGAAGTGCGCCTGTTTTCGCGATTGTTTTAGAACTTCCGATTCAGTTGCCTATGGGAGAAATGACTAGGAATAATAAACGGCAGAAAACGGCCAAACTACCCGCTCTACAAACAAATGTTTGCCTTACTATACAGACCAAGTAGAATAATATAATTAAAAAATATTAGTTTGCAACATCAAACAGCGAAACGAGCAGTTTTTAATGTCTAAAAATGATTGGAAGTGAATGAGACCGGATGTCTCGATCCAAAAGATTCAAATGGCTGCGCCCACTCATCATCGAAAAATAAGGTGAATAAGCTGACATACGAGCTATTCGCTGATGAATCGTGGTTTTAAAACGCTCAAGTGTCCTTGTATCCGTAATTATACTCGCATGTTAGCGGGAAATGGACGTTTTTATACTTTCAGTATCGACTGGTACCGAATTCCAGTATCTTGACAACCCTATTTATAACTGCGTCCAAAATCGCATGCTACTATACTATATAGTACACTAAAAACAGTATGTGTGCCGAGTAGTATGTCCGAATTCACTTTATGCAAAGTACGCGGATGACCTACTACTTCTGGCGAGATTTTGAAGTGTGCATCCGATTTACGATATGCTGTCCCATAATGAATTCATGAATGGGAGTGAAGTTGAAGACAATTGGCAGATATAGTATGTCCGAGTTAAATTTTTACTACCGTTTATACTATATAGAACATACTTTTCTTATGGTTACCAAGTAGATTTACAAATAGTATATACTTGAGTAGGCAATTTCGGACATAGCCTCTGTCTTTAGGTTTTGACTTCTGAACCTTTGTTTTTTTTTAAGGTACCAAGAAAGCTGTGTGGTGGACAATATCAAGGTATGCAGTAATGAGACTGGAACTGGACGCTTTAAGCGGATTTGCGTCACATCCCGCGTTCCCAGAAACCCCACCATCGGAGACAAATTCGCCAGCAGACACGGACAGAAGGGAATCCTGAGCCGTCTGTGGCCTGCAGAGGACATGCCGTTCACCGAAAGCGGTATGAGCCCAGACATCCTATTCAACCCTCACGGCTTCCCCTCTAGAATGACCATCGGGATGCTCATCGAGAGCATGGCAGGAAAATCCGCTTCCCTTCACGGTTTGTGCCATGATGCCACACCATTCACATTCTCTGAGGAAAATTCAGCACTCGAGCACTTTGGGGAGTTGCTGAAAGCCGCCGGATACAATTATTACGGTACAGAGCGCCTGTACTCCGGCCTCAGTGGCTTGGAGCTCGAAGCGGACATCTTCATCGGGGTTGTTTACTACCAGCGCTTGCGTCACATGGTCTCCGACAAGTTTCAAGTGAGAACTACAGGAGCGAGAGATAAAGTAACCAATCAGCCAATGGGAGGCAGGAACGTTCAGGGAGGAATCCGCTTTGGGGAAATGGAGCGGGACGCTCTGCTGGCTCACGGGACGTCGTTTCTGCTTCACGACCGGTTGTTTAACTGCTCGGATCGCTCCGTGGCGCAAGTTTGCATGGACTGTGGTAGCCTATTGTCGCCACTTCTGGAAAAGCCGCCGCCTAATTGGTCTGCTACACGTCATCGGAAAACCATCTGCCTGCTTTGCAATAAGTCTGACTCTATCGAGACCGTCTCTGTGCCTTATGTGTTCAAATATTTCGTAGCCGAGCTTGCAGCAATGAACATTAAAATTAAATTGGACGTCAAGTAAAATAGCATTTTGAGTGCATTCAGTTGCTTTGCTTGCTTGAAAAATAAAGTGCCTGAACTGATTGTCATTTTCATTTACTTGAGTGTTTGTCTCACTTGTAATAATTTCTGCAGAATTTTAATAAAACAAACAATAATAGCTCAGATTATCATTCTCAATTTTTAGTAGGTATCATTTATGTGCAATTAAAGACATCATGTATTGTTGAAACTTCATATAGTCGCTCTTAAGTCAATGAGTCCCTTCAGGTTGCAACGTATTACAGCAACCCTCTGAGAAAACTCTAACTTTTGAGTATTTTAAAGTCATTTATTCCAATAAACTGCTTTAATTATTAACAAACATTTAAATTTTTTTTAAAAACCTTTCACAGAACCTGCTTTAAACTTTCTTTAACCAATTAAAAATGCTTTATGAGTCAACCAGTTTTAAGGCTACGCAAGTCGATATTATACACGTTGTTATGAATGTGGCCAATATCAGATTTCCAGTGTGAACAGATCATGGCCCTAAACTACCTAAAGTAAAACTACACAGCACATTAATTTGTGTATAGCCTACTAAATGAAGTGAATTGCCCTAACTAATTAAAATCTCTCGTTACATTGCAAGCTTTAGATTAGGGTTTTTTCAAACATGTCTGTCTATTAGGATGTACAATGGGTTTAAAATCTGTTACTTAAATTACATTTCCAGTAATGCTGATTGAATAGTACATCAATACATACATAGTGAGTCGTTGCTGAAACAATTTCATATGGCGAATATACAGGGCTTGAAGTTCTAGAATGTATAGCAGATGTAAATATCTCAGATGTGGACATTAGGGAGTGATAAGGGTGAAGATAAACTTTGTTTGCAATCTATACAACAAAGAGCTCAAAATTAAAGTAAAAATGTTACAATCTTAATGTTTGCGATTTTGAAAAAAAAAAAATTAAGATTATACCAACAATCATGCATGTTTTAATTTTGTTTGTTTTGCATTTCATGTATATGAGCAATTCCTAGCAAATGTCAACCTTGTCATGAAAAAAAATAAAGTTTTCACCAAAGTACTGAAACTGTTTTAGGGTTTTTGTTTAAGTGTTTTACAGTACTTTAGAAATACTCAAAAATGCATCTGTCGATGTTTTCAAATTATTATATTTGATTTATCAAATCACACAAGTGGCAATTTCACATCTGTCATGTCCATAACAACACTTTTTCCTCATAAATGTGAAAATATTAACTTAAATAAAACCAATAATTATTGTTTTATAGAGAGCCAACTCTTAATCCTTTGATTATCATTATTTATTTTGGGTTGTGCAATTTAATCCACATATTTTCTACAAAGTGTGTTGTAGACCCGCAGACTTTTTTGTTACATCCATAACGCATGTTTATTTTCCTATTTAAAGTACAAAACATGTTTACAGATTGATATTTTACATCAAAAAGTTTCATACAATGTTAACATACATTCTATGTGAATTTATGTTTTGAGTTTTTACTGCCAATGTCACACCCTTAAGAATTGCTCATATACATAAAATGTATAATGTTCAAGAAGTACAACTGTTCTGACTAGAGACATTTGAAAAATAATTCGGGTCTGGTGTTCAATAGTACAAATGGTGAGCCTTTCTGAGGGAAAAATGACGGAGTGATTTGTAAAGTCGTTCTCCCATAACATTTTTGTTACTTGCAACTCTAACGTTTTGTGAATGAGATCCAATGGAACCGACATTTCAATTAGAATCAAGATAGAACGCACGTTCGTTCGACGAAGGAAATGTTTTCTATAAACAGTCCTCAAGCGAATTGCACATTACTTTTCGTAGTTTAAAAATGATCGAAATGCTTAAAACACACAGGGCTGATATTTCACTCACAGCAATGATTAAGTGTAAACAAACAGAGGAGAGCAAAATTTATCATTATAAATAAAGATGAAATGTTAAGCCTACGTGACAATTTTATACAAAAAAACCGGTGTTTGCAGTGCACATAATCTTTACTTACATGAAAACGCTCCAAGCAATGACCCCGCGAAAGTTGTACGGATTTTGTTTATAGTCAGCGCTTCGTCATCAGCTCACATGATTTCCGAGTACCTTTCTGCTCATTTCGAAGAATACAGATTGAAGGCTGAAATTTACATATCAGGTGAATTTCGGTTTGAAACAAATACTTTTTTTTTAATTGTACATCAGTTATTTAAATACCTGAATGCATACATCACCCATAATTGATTTATTCAAGTACTGAGGTTATTGCGTGCCATCCTCGAATTACTGTTAGTTACAGTATTTACAATTTACAAATCTCCTTAAGTGCTTTAAACACAGTATTATTCAAAATATTTTTGGAATAGCTACTGTTTTATTTTATTACTTCTCGACAGCAGCCCAGCAACACTGTAAAACCCAACAGTCAACTTTATCAAATGAAATGAGTGTAACTCAAAGTTAATTCTACTAATTTGAAAAGTGTTTCGAACTCAGCGTGGAATGTAATGGGTTCATTAAATACCTCATCATTACTTTAACTTAAATGGAGTTAGTTCACAGTATTGTATAGATTCGTTTTTTAACTTAAGTAGTTTGTAGCAATCAGTTTTCTCTAATGGTCTGAGTTGCGATAAAACTTATTGGGTTTTACAGTACTCTGCTGGTTTGAGTTCTCTTCATTTATTGGGTTTTGCTGTGCTCAAATTGCTTCGTTTACTCAAATGGATTAAGTTCACAGTACTCATTAGAATTAGTTTTTGCAATTGATTTTCTCAAATGGTTTGAGTTACCTTAACTTTTTTGGGTTTACAGTGTGGTCAGAGGAAAGACAGCCCAGAGTTTTTGTTACCATTTCTCTTTTTAGTCACCCTCATTTATTCTTGAAAATATTGTGTGAATTCAAATGGGTGTGTTGTGTTTTTGTGGTTTGAGCTTACCTGCACATAGGATCTGCTGTTTCTAAACCGAAGCATTTGCATGAAGTTAGCACACAACCGCATTCACTCCAATAGAAAGCGTATTTAGACTGTCTGAATTGTTTAGTCTAGTCTAGTATCTAGTGAACTATTTGCCATTTAAACCTTGAAAACACTATGGCAATGATTTTTCAAGAATTCCCAGCATATGTAAAAACCCTGAAAAGTATGGATATAGATCTTTCAAATTGTCATCTTTTAATTACAATAATTGAAATGGGGCTTAATTCATATGCACTCAGCAGATCAAATAAACTCCACAAGGACCACCAATTTATAGCCCCCAAAAAATTGTAATACCATTTTTCTGAAAAATATGCTTTAAAGGTGCCATAGAATTAAATATTTTTAATTCCACTATAACTTCAACATGATCTCACAGCAAATTATAACTTTTTGATTTAGTAGCTAATTCGTATAAATTCATACAATCTCATTCATGCAATTTATAACGATTTGTTTATCCCCTATTGAAGGCTGGGTTTAGGTGCAGGGTTGGGTGCCATGCCTACTGTAAACATCGAACAAATTCATACAAATTAGCCACTAAACTGACAAAACGTAAAATACTTACGTTTCCTTGTGAGTCCAGGCTGGTAACCTAGGTTGCTCCAGAGTTGTAATGTGGATGAAATGCAGGCTAAATTATAACTACTTACATTAATTAAATTAATTAAATGCATTAATTAAAATCAACGTCTGCATTAACAGAAGTTTATAAAGTTCCAAAAAGAAGTGATATAACGAATGCATAAACATTTATACTCTGCAGTTTACATTTATTTGTTGCCTCATTACAAACATACTCTGCAAACTTCACAATATACAAAGTTGAACTGCGAAAAGACATATTTAAATAGGCGTTACCCCTTCTAGGGATGGCACTGCATAAATTTATAATCTGCATATCCCACATCTGCACTTTGCCTGGTTTACAAAACTGATCCTTTACTCTTTCAAAATAAGAGTCCAGCTTAGTAGGTATAATACAAGCTGGCGACGCAGTAGGTAGTGCTGTCGCCTCACAGCAAGAAGGTCGCTTATTTGAACCTCGGCTGGGTCAGTTTGCGTTTCTGTGTGGAGTTTGCATGTTCTCCCTGCGTTTGCGTGGGTTTCCTCCGGGTGCTCCGGTTTCCCCCACAGTCCGAAGACATGTGGTACAGGTGAATTGGGTAGGCTAAATTGTCCATAGTGTATGTATGTGTGCGAATGACTGTGTATGGGTTTCCCAGTGATGGGTTGCAGCTGGAAGGGCAGCTGTGGTGACCCTAGATTAATAAAGGGACTAAGCGGAAAAGAAAATGAATGATTATACTAGTTTAGGGGTGACATGGTGGCTCAGTGGTTAGCACTGTTGCCTCACAGCAAGAAAGTCGCTGGTTTGAGTCCCAGCTGGCCCAGAGGGCATTTCTGTGTGGAGTTTACATGTTCTCCCCGTGTTTGATCGAGTTTCCCACACAGTCCAAAGGCATGAGGTATAGGTGAATTGAATAAACTAAATTGTTTAATGAGTGTATATGGGTGTTTCCCAGTATGGGGTTGCAGCTGGAAGGGCATCCGCTGTGTAAAACATATGCTGGATAAGTTGGCAGTTCATTCCGCTGTGGCGACCACTGATGAATAAAGGGACTAAGCTGAAGGAAAATTAATGAATGAAGCTTGGATGAATTTAAAATAGGAAAATTATCACTGTTGTAATCTCACTAGGAAACATTGAGGCCAATCAAACGCCTCCTGGAGCATGCATGTTAATGATCCATTGTGGAACATGACAGTCAATGTTTTGTTTGGATTGTCCTGTCTTTTACATTCACTCGATTTACATGAGAACAAGGAAACAGTGGTGTTTGAGGCTCACGGTATGTCAATATTGAGCTCTTATTATTCAGCTATGCCCAAGTAAATAACAAATTTCATTCTATAGCACCTTTAAAATAAAAATAAAAAAGTGCATCATGCCAGCTGAGCTAGAACTTCCTTCAGATGCAGTACAGTAGGTAGAGTGTAGTCTGGAGTTACGGAGTCCTGCGGGAGAGATTTACTGCCAGCATTTATCCACACAGTTGCCCGCACTCCAGCATTAACGCCTCCCTGGATGTCTGTGGTAAGAGAATCTCCCACCATGATGCAGTCCTGCGGCCGAACTCCTGCAGACTCGAAGCAGTGAGTGAAGATGGAGCGCGCCGGCTTCTGCTCCGGATGATCTCCTCCGACTACCACCAAACTAAAGAGACCCTCACATCTCACTGCTTCGATCTTCTCCCGCTGCGTCTGAGTGTCACCATTGGTGAGCAGAAGCAGTTTGTAATTCTTCTGCAGTTCCTCCAGCAGTGCTCGAACCTCTGAAGACAAACTCAAAGCCTGTAAGCGTGTGTTTTTCCATGTGTAGTAGCATCTGGAGGCTAGAGCCGGATCAGGATCTGTGCCCGGTGTCTCCTGTAGGGCTTCACACCAGTGCTGGATCCTCACGTCATCTATCGTTTTTCCTTCTGATGGGTCAAAGGACTCTTGGAGAAGCTTTCGTAAGAAGCGCTCACAGATGTCTCTGATGTGGCTTTCCTGCACGTGTGTCGACTTGAGCAGCTCGCACACCTGAGTAACATGCACAACATAAAATCAACATAGTTTTTAACAACAAATTAAAATGAATTTCAAGTGTTGACTTGTGTAGGGTACATTCAAAAATGTAAAGTACATCAAAGAACACTTAACATTTCATTTTAATGACCTAAAGCTGTGCAAATACAAGAGTGCTTTGGTATTCATGGTATATATTAGGGCTGAACAATATATCACTTGAGCATTGATATCGCAATGTGTGTATCCGCAATAATCACATTGCAGGATTATTTATTATAGATTAAAGGATTAAGATATTATTAAACATGTTTTTTATTATCTATGCAATAATGGCCATATTATTTTACATTTTAAAGTTTGATTTCTGTACATTTTACTCTGTCGTATTTATTTACGTTTAAATTTATTATTTTTTATGGAGATGTACCGCATTGGAGACTTCATCATCCCAGTCAATCTAAATGAATTAAATATTTTTAAATAGAGCTATTCAAATAATCTGATGAAATTATATTCATATCGCAATATATATTGCAACAAATTAAAATATTGCAGCGTCAGATTTTTCCGACATCGTGCAGCCCTAGTAATATAGTTGAAACCAATTACCTTTTTTAAAATAAACAAAGTAAATCATATTAAACGTTTACTATTACTAAGCACATTTGAAGGGCATCCGCTGCGTAAAACACATGCTGGATAAGTTGCTGGTTCATTCCGCTGTGGCGACCTCAGATTAATAAAGGGACTAACCCGAAAAGAAAATGAATGAATGAATGTCAAGTAAACCTTCGTAACACCATGGTTTTTTTTGATATACCAAAAATCATGGTTAATACTACGGTACTTTGATAATATTCATCAAAAAATGGAAATAAATCAAAGAACACCATTACATAACCATTTTATTTTAATGACCAAAAGCCATGTAAATACAAGGGCGCTTTGGTATGAACTAATTCAATTTTAGTAACAGCCTTTAGCATGCTAATATGATGCTAAGTGTGCTAAAAACAGTGACAGTATTTTACATTGATATAAAGCATGGGTCTCAAACTCGATTCCTGGAGGGCCACAGCTTTGCACAGTTTTGCTCCAACCCTAATCAAACAGCTCATCAGACTTGAGTTACTGTTGCCTTTTTATCAGCTTGAACAAGTCTGGCCATTCTCCTCTGACATCAACAAGGTATTTGCGTCCACGGAACTGTACTGGATATTTTCTCTTTTTCTAGCCATTTTCTGTAAACCCTAGAGATGGGTGTGCATGAAAATCCCAGTAGATCAGCAGTTTCTGATATACTCAGACCAGCCGATCTGGCACCAACAATCATGCCACATTCAAATTCACCTAAATCACCTTTCTTCTCCATTCTGATGCTCGGTTTGAACTGCAGCAGATCGTCTTGACCATGTCTACATGCCTAAATACATTGAGTTGCTGCCATGTGATTGGCTGATTAGAATTTGCCTTAACGAGCAGTTGAACAGGTGTACCTAATAAAGTGGCGGGTGAGTAGCACACCATGGGGTCATGTCCAATTACACCATTACAGTGTACAAAAAAACATAGTACACCATAGTTTTTAATGTATGCCGTTTAAACAAGCATGGTAATACCATATGGTATTTTATGCCTGTTAACACCATTCCATGTGTCAAAACAGTCATCTAAAACTTTATAGTCTATTCTATTTCAACAAATACACCATTTTAAAACCATGGCAAGTATCCTTAAAACCATAGCAATACCATAGTACATTGAAATTTACAGTATACAACTGAATCAAAACCAGTGGTAGTACCACAGCGTATTTTCGAGCATTTATCATATTCATCCATGTACCTTCTGAATGGCAGTTCGTCCTGCTCCGGCTGTGTCGATCAGCGTGTTATCCAAATCAAAGATAATCGACAAAACCCCGCGACTTCCCATCATATATTCCACATATGCAGCCGATATGCACAGCAGTTCCGAACACGCGGAACTCCGGCAGCTGACGTCAGACAGGTGAAGTCGTCACGATCGCATTGCATCCTGGGAGATGTAGTTCTCAAGAAGAATACTTTTGTTTCACGTTAATTAGTCGTTAATAAAATAATACTTTATATTTAATTATTTTAACCAAATATTGCTTACAAAATGTTCAAAATAAATAAGTTAAAATACTTCGTACATGAAATACTACTTAATATTAAGTGCTTTGTTGATTTGACAGGGACATCCACGACAATACATTGACCCTAAAAAGGAAAAATGCTTTGTGCCAGGCTTTAGTAATTGTGCTATATATAAATAAGTGCCATTTCCAAGCTATTCATACTGATACAAATTAATGAACATACGATAACTTTCATTTAAATTCTTTTGAAAGTGAGTAGCTTTTTATTTACAACAGAATAACCAAATGTATCTAAAATATTGTCTCGTTTAAATATTTGGTGTACTTAAGACAGAAAAAAATGCATTTGCAGATCAAAATTTGATCAGTCTTTCTGTTGCAAAAATCACTGATATGTTAAAATTGCAACAAAAAAACAAAAAACAAAAAAGAAAGAAAGAAAAAAAAAAGTAAAAAGCTGCACTTTTCCAGCATGCAGTATTGTGGCACACGACAGTAATCAGCTGGAGAATCTGCACTGCTGCCAAGACGTGCGAGCTGGCAGCTGTGTGAATGAGGTTACGTGAAAATCTTTACTCCTGCTGTATGATCTGCTCCCAATAAAGGTTCTTATCAGATCACATGCGCTGCAACTGGTGTACGTGTGAGATGGACTGTTGCCTACTGTCACAGCTATATCTCGCCAGATTACTAGATTTTTTGTTATGCTAAAATAGTTTCAGTTCATGCTAAACGAAAACCTTATAAACATATAGAAAGTATTTACAAAATAAGCCACATTTTAAAAACCATATCGCAATAGACAAGAAAGAAAAGACACAAACATTCAAATTAAAAAGAAATAAATAAATAAGCTTTTAAATGAGAAATTTTATTTTTAAAATGAAGATTTGTTGATTTTGTGAAATGTTTAAAGCACACTCATACACTAAATTTGGTCAGTACACTGGGTAAAGTTAAATGGTTGAAGATGAAGATAATTATTTTAAAGTACAGCACAAATATATTTATATATACCCCCTCAATTATATTTTTCAAGATACTAGTATTCAGCTTAAAGTGACATTTAAAGACTTAACTAGGTTAATTAGGTTATTAGGCAAGTTAGGGTAAGTCTTTTTATAACAGTGGTTTGTTCTGCAGACTATCGGCAAAAAAAAATATTGCTTAAGGGGCTAATAATATTGACCTTTAAATAGTTTAGAAAAAAATAAAAACAGTTTTTATTCTAGCTGAAATAAAACAAATTTTAATATAACATTAATATATTAATATTATTGCAAATACTGTGAAAAACTCTTTTCTCCATTAAATACTTGAGACATATTTGAAAAAGAATATTTCACAGCAGGATGGCTAGATTTTGGCCTCAAATGTATATCTCAGAATATAAGAGCTTTATTGACAGGTTTGTTTATACACGCAGAAAGGAATGTGTGACACGGTGCAACAGAATAACATAATACAAAAAGTAAATGTTACAGCATTATTATTTGCTCTATAGGTTTCAAGTAATGGAGCTGCTCTAAAAATCATGACCACACGAGGGCCTCATTACAAGCTGAGTACAGCATTAAACTCAAGCACATCATCACTAAAACGTTTATATGGCCAAAACTGAAACACTTTGCAGTTCAGTTAATGGATTGAAGAATATCTCATCATCAGGCCCACACGGAATCTGCACGAACAGAAATCCACATTTTCCACAGATCCTTTTAGCCTATAATTAAGTCGATTTATTTACTCTTGCACATATGTGTAAATATTTATTCCCTTTTATATAAATTTCATCAATGTTACTGTGTAATATGCAAAATCTTCATATATTTTTACAAAACATTTTGTAACGTTTTCTGTTTTTTAGTATATGAGAAACTTTGTACATTGAAAAGTGTACACCTTACATTGTGAGCCTCATTTCAGGTTTTACGTTTTTAATTATACAATACTACCAAAATTATTACGTACAAATAAAAAAAATTAAAAAACTAATGTTATACTGCAAACACATACTGTATTGAGAATCAGAGAATGCAAGCAGAACAATTGGAGAACATCAATAACTGTAAAATAACTCAATTAAAATAAGATTTTTTTACATTACACAAACACTGATATTGTTTTTAACCAAGAAACCTGACAAAGTTTTTACAAAAAAGCTTAATTATTATTACACTGTAAAATCCAACAGTCAACTTTATCCAATGAAATAAATGTAGTTTACTCAAAATTGACTGAAAGTTAATTCTAATAATTTGAAAAGAGTTTTGAACTCAGTATTGAAGTTTATGAGTTAATTAAATACCTCATTACTTCAACTTAAATGGAGTAAGTTCACTGTACTCATATAGATTAGCTTTTTTAACTCAAATGGTTTGTAGCAATCAGTTTACTCAACCGGTTTGAGTTGCCTTAACTTATTGGGTTTTACTGTGCTCAGTTGGTTTGAGTTTGAGTTCTCTTCCTATATTATGTTTTACTGTGCTCAAAATGCTTAATTTACTCAAATGGATTAAGTTCACAGTATTCATTTAGAACTTAAATAGTTTGTTGCAATCAGTTATTATTATATTATTATATATATATTATAAAGTGATAAAATATAAAAATGATAATATATGTATGTATATATATATATATATATATATATATATATATATATATATATATATATATATAAGATTGATGCAATACCCCCCCAGTCATCTGGGAGTGCTAACACTAGTAAGAAATGATATATGTTTATGTATCATATTAGTTTTGTTAATTGCACATTGTCCCACAATTACTGATTAAAAGCCACAGAATGTTCACTGAGAGTTAATTTGTGCGCTGCTGTGCTGCAACTTGCTTCTATTTCATTTATCAGCATTTTCTTAGCAGGAGCTCACCTCATCTGACCGGCACTTGAATGTTTTCTCGGTATGCTCAGCACACACACACACACACACACACACACACACACACACACACACACACACACACACACACCTTCAGGGCTCTTCACTCACCATGAGGAACACTTACAGTTTTCACAGCAAATTCTTGTGGTTTGATATTTATTTTAGAAGGCTGAGATGCATAAACAGTGGCTACAAAAAGCATTCATTAAAGATTCATGCATTAGAATCAAAATAATGGTTTACTTTATCATTTATATTATCATTTACTCTGAAGCACACTTTAAAAAAAAGACATTTTTTTAAAGAACAGCACAATCACACTTTAAAAAGTAAGCATAGACAAACTTAAAATAACTAAAAATACTAATAACTAAAACCAAAATGGGGCGATGCGGTGACTCAGTGGTTAGCACTGTCGCCTCATAGCAAGAAGGTCGCCGGTTTGAGTCCCAGCTGGGCCATTTGGCATTTCTATGCGGAGTTCTCCCCGTGATGGTGTGGGTTTCCTCTGGGTGCTCTGCTTTCCCCAACAGTCCAAAGACATGCAGTTTAAATGAATTGGGTAAACAAAATTGGCCGTAGTGTATGTGTGTGTGTTTGTGAATATGTGTGTATGGGTGTTTCCCAGTACTGGGTTGCAGCTGTAAGGGCACCTATTGTGTAAAACATATGCTGGATAAGTTGGCAGTTTATTCCGCTGTGGTGACCCCAGATAAATAAAGGGACTAAGCCGAAGGAAAATGAATGAATGTCAACTTAAGTAAACTTACTGTAAGTAATTTAAGTTGATCCAATGAGGCTTTTTTCATTGAAAAAACAAAACGCCATTGATTTCAATAGTATTGTTTGTTTCTATGAATGTCAATTGCTGTATTTATATCCAACCTTCTTCAGAATATCTAGTTTTGTGTTCAAAAGAAGAAATGAAAGTTTCAAACCATTTAAACGGCTTGGAAATGTTCATTTTTGTGTGAACTATCCCTTTACTTACCATAATAATAAACTGTCACCACTATCTTAATATGTCTCAAGTTCTCAAAAATCCCTCCAGAAACGTTCTTGGAATTAAATCAAAACACCTGCATAGATTCTAACCAAATAAGGAGAAATAAGAATAGCAGAGGCAGATCTGTTATCTGTTGGTGATCAGCACGCAGCTTGCATGTAGAGGAAGACATTGAGAGCATTTAGCGTATCCAGAGGAAGTGTCATGTATTGTTGCTCCAAGCATTTCAAATGACACTTGAAATGACACTCCTCACTCCCTGTCATTATGTAACCTTGCGTGCACTCGCTGCTGGACCAGCGCCAAACCTTGACACGCAAAAATGTGTCACAGCATTCTGCTCCTTTCTGAGGCATGATCAGAAATTGGAGCATTTCTCACGCATGTAAATTCTGCTCATAGCACAGATGCCGGTCTCTGTTCGAACAATTCCTGTTCATGTAGCGTTCCTTCTGAGACACGCTCTGTAAACAGCAGTTTCAGGGAGTGGAAGTGTGAGAGAGTTTGGAGAGCGTGCGGATGCTACCAAAACAAACACACTGCAGCAATCACACTGATACAGATCTCACTGCACCGGGATCACACCACATGTTTACATCCAAACAAGTGAATTACACTTCTGTGCAAAACTGGAATATCGCATAAAACATTTAGCAATAACAGTGCATGAATAATGATGTGTTAATATGTAAACTAAACACGACTTTATTATGAACTAATGATAAAGTTAATGCGTGTGCTAATCATGAACTAATCTTAATTAATTATGATTGGTTGTTAATTAATGTATTATTACCACATTCGTTTATGCTTAATTTAACCATCATGAACTCATGACATGTTAATGTATAACTATATCATGACTTTACCTGGAGGGGCACATCATCATGAACCCATTCTTAACTACTCATAAACCCTTATGCATGTCTGTCTAGTGTTTTTACACTGAATAACAACAGAAAAGGGTTCTGTCAACATCAACATCAACATCAGCAGTTTAAACCCA